AACTGCATTTAAATCAGTACCTGATATTTTTCAATCAAATAGACAGTTTCCTCATCTGCTCTAACAGATGCTCTGTTAGAATACGTTAACTCTAGCTAGAATGAGCTTTTAATATCTTTGGTTGTTATGGGTAAAATTCTAATCTCTAAAAAGCCAAGTTTGCTATAAAATGATGTGTTCCTCAGACAGTGACTGAAAAGCATTACTGATATGAATGTCTGACAGATTAGGCTGAAACCCTTGGAAAAGCAGCTGTTTCTCTCGTAATACCTGTGTGGATGCAGTCTTTATGTAAAGAAAATTGTTTTGCCCCTTAGAAAATGCTTAAAAACAAAAATACTCACCCATGGCAATTCACATGGCTTTTCTTATTATATGCTCATAGGATGGACAGAACCCAGGTCCTCCACCACTGATACCAGGACTGGGGCAGCAGGGAGGACAAGGTCGCCTTGGCCCTCACAACCAAGGACCAGGTCTTAATAAAGGTATGTTTATTCTTCTGTGAGTAATTCTACTGAAGAGGCTGTTCCAGTGCAGTGCCTTGAGACAGAAAAAGCTACAGCAGAGGACAGGGCCATGACAGAGAGGAAAGCTTCTGTAGACTTGGGCTGGAAGGAAACGTTGTGCCAGAAGAGAGTGATGTAACATGAAATGTATAGTGTGTACTTTGTAGAACTGCACGAACTAGGGCATCCTAAAGCCTTTTTAGAAACCATTACAGAAGTCTGCTATGATTTTTTCCCTCAAGGTGACTCCCGTGGTCCACCAAACCATCACATGGGCCCTCTCTCAGATAGAAGGCACGACCAGAACAGTGGTGGTCCTGACCATGGGCCTGAGAGAGGGTTGTTTCGAGGTGGCCAGGAGTGGGGTGATGGTAGAGACAGCAGGGGCATGCCAGATAGACGAGGACCTCACCCAGATTTCCATGATGACTTTGATCGACCAGATGACTTCCGTGACGACTTCCATCCAGATAAGAGATTTGGCCATCGATTACGGGAATTTGAGGGGAGAGGAGGCCCACCGTTGCAAGATGAGAAATGGAGACGAGGTGGACCTGGGCCTCCCTTTCCTCCTGATCACAGGGAATTTGAAGGAGGGGGTTCTAACCGTGGGCCTCCTGGTGCTTGGGAAGGACGCAGACCTTCAGATGATAGATATCCACGGGATCCTGAGGATGCACGCTTCCGAGGAAGACGAGATGAGAGGTAAGAATTAATCTATTCATTTTTGTGGGGGGTTAAAGGGTAAATGGAGGGAATTCTTTCTTCCTGGTTTCCTCTTCATTAAGGAGTCTATCTGTTTCAGATTTATAAACTGGAAACCAATAAGGAAATGAAAACTCTAATATACCTGAGTATAGAGTCCATAAAAATCATTCAGTAATAGAAGAAAAATGGTCATTGTACACAGCAGCTTCCGTGTCTTTAAACAGTAAGTAAAGAGAAGGCAGGAAATTTTTAGAGAAGATCCAGTGACACAGGATGAAGATTTGAGACCGTTTTGATGAAAATTGAGAGGAAACTTGGAGGTTAAAGTGGCAAACTTTTGAACACTAGAAGTGGATTTTGAGACTTTGTCTCCAGTCACAAACTACAGCATGACTGTAGGGACTGTAGAATGAGATGTAAGATACTTGTAAGGAGTAGAACAGTGATCCTGCTATCAAATATAAGGGACAGAGCTACAGCATCTGCTGGACTGTTGAGACTATTTTCTCATGGGTTTGCTTGTAGAGATTTTATTTCTCTTTCTGACTTTATTTCTTAATGCCAAGCAAAGAACTCGGAGATACCCAACTTACAGCAATGTCCACATCATTGCTCAGTTTCCAAATAAATTAAGGGATGAATTTGTGTCTAGTTACAAATGTAAATATGGAGGAATTATGCTAACTCAGCAAGATTAACTGTCATTGAAATGGCTCCACATTCATACTAGTTTAACTGGGTTAAATTTGGCCTCCAAGGTCTAAGCCTCTCACTGCCCACCAACTCTGTATGTATAAGAACATGTACAAATATCTTGTGGTCTCCACATAATGTGAACTTTGTGTGTTTTAGTTGCCTTTTTAATCGTTTTCTTACATTCCTTTTACTTTGCATCTACACAGCTCTTCTTTTAGCTATTTTCTTCCTAGCTCTGTAAAGCTGTACCTTCCTTTTGTGTGAAGAGTATGAAAAGAAATGAACAATAACTAAGAAAAGGTAACAAAGCCATTTTTAAAAAGTAAAAGTAGAGAGAATCCAAGCTGAATGCCCTGCAGTACAGAACTCTAAGATGCAGCAGACAACGCTTTTAGAAGCTCAGTAGAGATTTTCAAATCTTACCTTGGAAATGCTGTGGGACTGGAAGGTATTTTATGATGATACTGAGTTTTAGAAAGGTTTCAGGAAGATTCTAAGGACCTTGTGACCTGTAAGTCTAACTTATGAACTAAGAGGAGTCTGTTTGTCAGAGTGCAAGTGTTTGTACAGTCTGGTTTAAAAGGAATCAGCACAGGGCTCTAAAAGGCTTATTGTGCTTGCAAACTTAATGAATTCCTTTGAATGAAGGCAAATTAAGTGCCATTTACTGCAGATGCTGATTTGAACTCAAGAACCCCAACTCCTCATTTAGCTGACTTGGTTTGGAATTTAGACTGTAACTGGTTTGATGAAGCATGAAGGAAGCGTGTGTATGTGTGTTTCTCTCTAATTTCCCGTCCTTTTCATCCCTGTCCTGTTCTTACTGTACCTATGCACATTAACATGATGCTTCTACTGTAGAGACGTGCCTCTTCCTGCCTGCTAATCTGCACAGTCTGTAGTTCTGTACGTTAAGGTCCTAGGCCTCAAGGAAGAAGATCCAAGAGCAGTCTAAACAGAAACTGAGCCCTATGCAAGGCAGGGGTTTACACGTGACTGATATGAAATAGAATATACATAACACAATATTAGGAGCTGTGGCTATGTCAGGCATAGGTGTGATAGATTTCAAAACTAAACCATGTCCATAACGTTGCCTGGAAACAAAAAGGAAAGGCCCTATTCCTGCTAGCCATAAGACTTTGTGTTGGAAATCTTGGTGATTTACACGCTAAGCAGAATCATACCATATCAGTATTAAAATGGGAGGCCCTCTAAAGAACATCTAGGAGACTGTGCTGTTTCAAGGCTAAACAATATTGCAATGTGATCATCTGAACCATTTGTACCTGAAACTGCTCAGTTTGTTCTCCCAGATCATCCAGGTTAATGTAAAATGGTTCATTGTCCATACACAGCACTCCCTCCATCCACTGTTGTACCTCTACAGGCACAGCAGCCTCCTCTCTGTGTTGTGGTTGTTCTCTGGGAGGTGGAGACAGACCTATTGTTTTTCATGAAACATAAATTGTAAAAGTTTAACACTATTGTATTGTGTTCTGACTACTGTTAAAATATTTAACTTTGTAATTAAAAGGTTAATGTTGTTAAAAGTCTAAATAAAGGTATCTAAAGTTTTGCTTGTAATAGGATGCACCGTGTCGTTAATGAGCTGGGGAAGGGGACGCTGCACAAAGCAAACACCACCCCTGTATTATGGAGGTTACAGTTTGGCCAGCGTGGAACTGGGAAGAGAGGGGAGGTGGGGGGCATCAGCGGGAATGGGCAAACAGTGCCCTGCATGATGTGTGCTGCTGCTGAGGGGTGGGCAGGAGCAGCGCGGGGTCGCACTGACCGTGAGCACTCCAGAACCAGTGTGCCTGCACTGCATAAAGCTCTCACCTGTGCTTGCACAGAAACGGGGCTGTAAACTAAAGCAGTCCTAACAACCGGCGCTAGAGAGGGCGCACTTCTGGAGGTGCAGTAGCACACAGAACACATCTGTGCTGCAGGTGTTTAAACTGGCAAGGTGAAAACCGAAACTACCGGTGTTCATGCAGCCACCTACAGGCTTACCTGAAGTGGCGCTGACATTTCATTAAGAACCATTCTTCTCTCTGAACACCTCAGTTAAAACCTCAGTGTGATACTGGAGGAGCTACACTCGTTTCACAGGAGATGCACAACCCAGTCATAGCAAATTACTGCCACGGGACCTAGTAGAAATTATCAACTTCAGTGTCAAAACTACCTTTTGCAAAGCAAAATCCTTCATTATTGCAGCTGAATAAACTGCTCTTCAGGTTGTAGAATGCCACTGTGCATGCTGGTCAACAGTCACCCTCATCCCTACAGAGCCAAAGGCTGTCTAGATTCATCTGCTAAAACCGTAAACTGAGAAGAATGGAACAGAAAAGAATGTTTTAGGTTAGCAAAAATCAATGGAATGAGATGCTGATGTGTTCTGTTATAGTCATGACTCTCATTGCTTGAATTCTTCCAGTTTGTTTTTATCACTACAATGGAAGGGGGAAAAAATGGAAGGGGAAAGAAGACCACCACATTAAGGGAAATTCACTTATACTTTACCTTCTATTTATCATCACTCACAGATTACTCCCCCCCACCCTTTATTAAATGAATACAGTATATTTGAAAGTATTTTTCTTGTTTGAGAAACAAACACAATCAGCAGAAGGAAATAAGGGGAAACTACAAAAAAGAATAGACAAAGTGCTCAAAGGCAGAAAACGAGCACTTTTCCACCTACAAATCCTATTCTAGTAACTGTATGTGCTACAGTATTAAGTAAAACAGTTCAGAAATGAGTTGATGATTAAACTGAAGCTGGCTGAAATTCCTCAATCTAAATTCTGTCTAAAACCCACATTTGTACCATGTTCTTTCTTGTAGTTTCAGAAGAGGAGGACCCTCAAGACAGGAGGGCCGGGGACCCAGGGGGAGAGATGGCTTTCCTGGACCTGAAGATTTTGGGCCAGATGATGCTTTTGACTCTCCAGATGAAAACTCAAGAGGAAGGGACCATGGTGTTCGGGGGCGAGGTCGTGGTGCTGTGAGAGGTGAGTGGAACATTCTTCCATACTGAAATGCAAGGATAAGGAAGCAAAGACACTTCCTGGGCAAATTACAGTATTGTCATGAATCCAACGTCTCCTGTCCACTGCATCTCTTACTGCGCAGGAGGCCGGAAGGGTTTACTTCCCACTCCAGATGAATTTCCACGCTTTGAAGGAGGGCGGAAACCAGAATCCTGGGATGGAAACAGAGAACCAGGTAAAAACTGGAGAGGTTTGTTTAGATAACTGCAGACTTCTATAATATAACCAACCAATGACCAAAAACTTAGGTGTAAAAATCACTACTTCTTCCTGTACCTCACATGCTCATGAACAGTCTTTTACTATAAGAACACCAAAACATAGCTCTTTGGACTTCTAAATTCAAGAAAAAAAATACTATACATAATTTAACTGGCTCCAAATGCAGGTGCCTCAGCAAACAAATTTATTATGGCCTCAAAGCCTCAATTTTAAGTTGATTTACTGTACAGCCTGGGACTGCCTGTTGTTGTCACCTGTGGATGAGTGAAGTACATACCTGGGGATTTTTTGAGGTGTACGTTAAAGCCAACAGTAATCTTTCTCTTGGGTGGCATCTTCTGTTGTTGCAAAAATCATGTTTTCAGCTGCAGTGTCTGACAGCTTACTGAAATTTGCATTTGTGTTACTAATGGGGGAAAACCTGAGTTTTCAAATGTCATGGAAAAAAACGCAAATGAATAGATGCAGATATGAACATCTCTAAAATATATGAAAATACACCGGAAAGAACCCTTTAGTTTTGTCACTTTCATTCCCATCATCCTTTAGAGACCAGTTTTACCTTTAGCTTTCTTAAAACTTACTCATCTAATGTTTGCTTGTTTTCCTGTTGGGATGGGGAGGGGGGGAAGCTTTATGTTAATTTTAACTTAAAATTGTGTGCCAAGTACAATGGAAAAGGTGTAAATTGATGTGACTTCCTCCAAAAAAAGTGAAGAATACCAATCACGTCAACATTACTTATTGTCCTGTTTTTTCTCTTCATGCTCAGGTCCTCGTCCTGATCACCCTTCTCATGACAGGCATTCTCCAGCTAACAGAGAACGTGCTTCTTCACTCCAGGGCATGGACATGGCCTCACTGCCACCACGTAAACGTCCCTGGAACGATGGACCAGGGACCTCTGACCACAGAGAAATGGATGCTCCAGGTGGACCTCCAGAAGAGAGGGCCAAAGGTAAAAAGCCCCTTCTATTGAAAATCTTATCTAACACCAGCACATTTTTCAACAGTAGGCTTATCCAGAATTCTTTATCTGTTCAGAGGCAATAAAGCTGAACTGGTAAATATCTGATCTTGCCAGCTGTGAGGCTGAACACCAGTCTCATAGGAACACAAGAACGGAGGGGTTTTCTGGAACATCACATCCAAATCTTTACTCTAGCTTCATGTAATCCTCTCCTTCATTGCCCTGATCAAAACCAGTTAGGTTTTGGCTCCCTGTTACTCCAGCTAGAAAACTGTTAAAAGCTTTTTTCCCCTCTGATTTTCAGTATAGTTACTTGTTATTCAAGCTTGTGCTAGCACCCTTTATCGGAAATATCCTTCCTGTCTCAGCTTTCACTCTGTTGGACCCAAATGTTTTAACTCTTTGCTCTTGAGCAACCTGGTCTAGTGGAAGGTCAGGGACATTGCAATTAAATGATCTTTAAGGTCCCTTCCAACCCGTATCAGCCTGTGAGTTGTCTACTTGTAAGAGTGTAAGCACAGCCATCCATGACCAGACTAGAAGTCCATAAAGCTCAGTAGCTTTTCTTTAACACTAGCCAGTAGCAGGTACAGAGGGAAGTGTTACTCTGTTCTTAACAGTCTAAGTCTGTAGTGGTATGTCCTGTAAATGCTTTCTCAACCTTGAAGATCTGTAGTGGTATGTCTGAAATGCTTTCTCAACATTGAAGATCTGTAGTGGTATGTCCTGAAATGCTTTCTCAACCTTGAAGATCTGTAGTTCAGTGACTGGCTACAATATTTTTATATCTAATGGCTTTTGACTTACCTTTTGTGTGCTTCTCTAACTGCTTTAAGAATCATACAAACTTTTGGCATCTGCAAGATCTACGGAGAGCTCTAAAACTTAATTGCGGTAGACTATGCTTAAAAAAAGAGGAAGGAAAATGTTTTCCTATTGCTTTAAGCCTTTTGCTCACTAATTTCATTCAATGATGTCTTGTGTTTTAACTGGAACAGCTGGAAGATGATGCCTCTTATTTCTGAATGCCATCTCTGATTGCATCAAAGTCTGCGATTTCCAACCTGAACTAGCTCTTCTCCAAGTCGCAGCTCTGATCCGTATCATTTACTCGCCTTATTACTCTGTATATATTATTTTCACTTTTAATTTATCCTTTTGTAAATTAAACAGGGTAACTAACAGTTGCACACACTATTTAAGATATGGTTTATCATCTATTTCTGTAGTCCACTTGGTTTTGTTCTCCTCTGCTTCCTAATAGCTTCTGATGTCCTATTTATTTCCCTTTTTAACTGCTGAACAGTCACACGGCACCCTCATGCACCTAGCTACTGTAACCAACAAAATAACTTTCTTCTGGAGTAAGCAGCTGGTTCAGACCCTATTGCTGTGTGTGTTGTTTCCACAATCATCCGGTTAGTCTTGTACCAGTTCTTGATCCTTGTTCTTATAAATCTCAGGATTGATGATGTCTTTTGTTAATGTTGTCTTTGGGGCTTTTTTAATGTCCTCATATTGACAACCCACTATTTAGTGGTCAGTAACAGAGGTTCTTCTCAGTTGCTTCCAGATGCTGAGAGCCTGTTGTTTTCTGTTGTTAGACCTCTACTGTGCAGCTTTGTCTTTGATGCCACCAAATGTCACTCCACTTCTCTTACTGTTGTCCTGAAGCTTGTTTAGTGTTAAGTGCACTGACAGTAGGTTATGCCCTTCATTCACAGAGGTTTTTCATGAAACCTTGCTGGTGAGCTCCCTCTGTATCAGTATTTTTCCTTTCAAAAGGCTGTGTTTCTCATTTAGCCAGCTTCTTATCGAATCTGTGAGGATTCCTTCTCCAGCTTCAATAGTAATTTGTGATAACTCCATCAGATGCCTTATTGAAGTCAAAACAGTTGTTAACTACCACGCTTCTTTGGGTGACATGTTTTAGTGTGAGGGGTCCCTGCCCATGGCACGGGGGCTGGAACTAGATAATCTTAAGGTCCCTTCCAACCCTAACTATGCTACGATTCTATGACTCTACGATTCTTGTGCCTAGACAACTCACTAATGTACCCAAGACGGTTTAGAACAATGGCAAGAAAGCCTGATACCGAAACATCGACAATACTATTTCGTGTATGGGCTGTGTCACTTTCAGTTCATTGGTAAAGTCATGTGAAGGTTAAAACTTCATGAATTATACGCTCTGTGGAACAATTTGGTCTTTATTTTACATACAACCAAGCAGTCAACAAAAAAATCCTTCTTGCTAAAGTGAGGAAAAATGTCCTCATTCAGCTGTAGCACTTTGTTGTATCCACAAAGCACTGTCAACATTACTACTTTGGGTTCCCTCCCCCCCCACAGATACTATTTGTTATTTTGAGCTAATGACTTTGGGGGTTTTAATATTAATTTAAGTCTCAGTACTAAGACCTGTGAGAAGCCGAAAATCCCGTTTCTGGCAGTAAGAGCTGATGTAGTTTGTTCCTGGTTAGTGATTAAAATAGAGCATTTTTCCATTATTTCTAGCAAAAAATAGAACAAAACCAGTAATGTTACTCATTGTCTTCACCACCAACCTCAACCCATCCATCAGTGCAATGTCCTTTTTTTAGGAAAAAAAGTGTTTTTCAACAAAAATGTATAGCGAACCACGATGGTGTTAAAGCACAAGAGTCGGGTACACCTGGCAGTTCTGAGAACACCATGACTATCACTGCTCTAATTTACTGAAGTGATTGCTGACTGTATCAGCTATAAACTCCCTTAATTCCCATGGAATTGTCTGATTGCTGTGCATCTTCTGGACTGTAATGGAGACGCTAAATCTATGTAAGAAAAATCTTGCAGAAGGGAGAGAAGGCAGAAAATTACAGGTCTCAACTATGCTTGGTCTGCAAATGAGTATCCCATAGTTCCTTCCACAAAGGAACCAGCTAAATATATGGTATGGCTGAGAAGAGGCATTGCTTAGACTCGAACACCAGTAACTGACTGTGCTTCTTTTTTAGGACGAGGAAGTTCGCAGAGAGCGTCAAAATCTGGGAGATCCAGTTCTTTAGATGGAGACCATCACGATGGATTCCACAGAGATGAAGCTTTTGGTGGAGGCCCTGCAGGAGGCAATAACCCTTCTCGAGGAGGGAGGAGTGGAAGTAACTGGGGAAGAGGACATAACATGAACTCTGCTCAATCAAGAAGAGGATCATCCAGGGGTGGTGGAAGGGGCCGATAGAAGAGGCTTTGACTGGGTCACACCCAGTCCTGCCTGGACAATATTTAAATGGATTGCTACTCTGGACTCATAAAGTAACCTGCAACAAACCTGGATTCTTTAACTGGGATAACTGAATGTGCATTAGCTCCTAACAAGACAGGGGTCTTTTCCTAGATCAGTCAACTTCTGCTAGCTGCAGCACTGTAGCTGGCTTTCTGGTTTGTCCTCTCCACCCTTGTTTTCCTCACCTTCTTTTACCTGCTTGGTTTTGTGAAGAGCTGGAATTTTTTTAAGTGATATGAGGCATGGAGCACCTCCACAGATTTCAGTTCACCTCCAGACAGAAACCTGTTCCTATGTGTACAGTTTGTCAGAAGAGTTACGTTGGTTTTGTATGAATACAGAATGTAATTTGTGCAAAAATTAACATAAAATCAACCCAGCGTGTGATTCTTTACTCACCTATCACTATAAAGAGGGTGGTCTTTAGGCAGACTTGTGTATCAGATGGAGCAACAGAACTGCCTCCTGAAACCTCAGCTGTCTGAAATACTCATAGCTGCATGATTCCTAGGTTTTTTGTTTATGATGCACAGAGAGCTTTCATTTTCACCTTTAGCCACAGCTGTCTACTGATTACAAGTGGTGCTGACGTTAACATTCCAAACCAGGGGAAACCACCGCTGCTTGCTAGTCTGCCATCCTGAAAGATAAAAACGTGGAACACTGCTTAGAAAAAGCTGTCATAGACATAGTGTGAGTTACATCCTGGACTACCAGCAAGACAGGCATCATGACAGACGTTGTCATTCTGTGCTTCAGCTGGGCAAGTCAAATATCTTTGTTCAAAACAGCATCTGGTTATAGAAGCTGAGGAAGAAAGTTTAGCAGATTGATTAATATGGATGCACACGCTTTACAATGGCTGTAGGAGGCACTGCTTAAAGATAGCTGGTTTCGGTAGGGTCTGGTATGTTCAAACCTCAACAGCTGATCGCTTTCTAATCGCTTTTTAAGTATAGTTTTCTTTAGGATATAGCTTCCCAGTTTTATGAGCAGAGGGAAATGATGAGGAAGAGTTATTCCCATTTCCCACATTTCACAATAAAGCTGTTTACGCCCATGAATTTGTTTCCCCATAAATCATTCATATTAATCATCTCCAGTCACCAAGTTATCAAAAGGCTCCTTTAATACCTAAAGCCTCAATGAAAATTTCACCACAGAAGTACGTATTCTAAAGCCAGGAAGGTCCCACATTAAAAGCATGGGATATAATGTATAATGAACAATACTACCAGGCATCCATCCCCCCTGCCCTGACTTTTCTGTTTTAATAGTCAGGATACTATGGTTTTGTACTTCTATAGCTGTCAAGGCTATTGCAACAACATAGTGAAACACGGCAGCTATTTTATCTGACGTCTCAGTCAGATTTACCAAAGACCTGATGACCTATCTTATAGGAAGAGATCAAAACACGGGTTAACACTTATCTGCTCTTCTCTTGCTTCAATCAGTCACAGATAGCATTTTCTTTCTTAGTTTTGTAGTATATAAAATGGCATTTGAAAGTTACAATATTTAACTGATCATTAGCCTATAAAATCCTTGTCATGTGGCTCTAGAGACAACGATTTTAAAGGCATTAACTGGGGAACAGCTGATAGAACACAGTTTCTTCTTTGAGGACTAAAAATGGAACTGCTTTTTAACCTGTACTTGAAGAAAGGCTTTGGTCACTTTTGGTATACATCAGTGAGTTAGGATCTATTCTGAAGTTTTGATGATAAATATCAGTATTTTGATAGCAAAGTGGAAAGCGTGCCCTCTCTTTTTTTTAACAAGCCCTATATATTTTTAAGGGGCTGAAAGTTATTTTTATGTAATAGTTAGAGTATGATTTAGAGGATGAGCTTTAGTCCTCAATTAAACTACAGTCCTCTACCAAAACAAGAGTGCACCCAACAGCAAACCCAGCTGTTTCTGTCTAGACAAAAGGGAGTATGCTTGGGTTTCCTCTGATGTTTCCTGAACTCTTTAAACCACTGGGGTACTTGGTGTTGAGTGAAATTCCTTATCAAGGGGCAGCTTTTTTAATTAAATTTTGAAATATTCCACTAGCATGGAATATGCACAAAACGTTTAAGAAAAATGGAAAGTGAGCTAGCTTTTGCGTAAAATCTTAGAAGGTGACAGCATGGCAGGAGAGACACAAGTGTCCCAGTCCATGGTCCTGTGACCACTGTTGCTGGGAAATGGTAAGATTACTTAATGGGAATATACTGCTGTACTCTTTGGGTCAAGTCCATTTACCAGAATGTGGAATCCTTATCCTCTACCTGCTAGTTTACAGCTCCGCCTTCTCTTGGATTGGTTTAGTATGTTAGTGCTGTTAGGAATAAACTAATTCTCTATACTATAGAAGTTGTAAAAATGAGAGAACCAATTTAATTCTGTTTAGATAGCTCAGATCTACGTTTTTATGGGAAAAGAGTGACCGTTAGTGGAATGTCTGTATTGAAATTTGGTACACAATTGGTTTTATTGAAGTAATCTCTGTTACATTTAGGTACCCCCATTTAACAGTTTCAGCTTAATTCAGAGTATTAGCTGAATACACTAAAGTCTAAGTAGTGATATCAGGTAAATATTACATTGTTTAGCTTTATTTTGTGTATAAGGCACAAGTAGTGAGATACTCAGGCTCTGAGCAGGTTAGGCCTGGTATTCCCCTTTACGTGCAGTAGTACAGTACACAGCCCAGCTGAAGTACCAGGCTCCCAGCAGGGACTGTCAGCCCAAATTCAGCACCTTCCTAAGGCTGCTTAGCTTCTGCATTGAAACTGAGCTGTGCTGGCTATCAAAAGCCCTAATTACCAGCAAGTCTTATTTCTCAAGGTCACACTGTGGCAAGTAAGCAATTCCTGCCTAAATTGAGAAATCGAAATACATATATATATATATATATATATATATGTAAATTAAGTTCTAAGAGCTGAAGCTAGCCTTGTAAAGCCCAACTGTTACAGCAGCTGTAAGGCAGCAGCAACACCTTCAAAGACTTAAGGCTCTTACCTAAGATTAGCACCTGTCATCCTATCACTGTCATGCACCAAGACCTTAAGGTTATGGCAATCTTTGTGACCCATAGCCCCAGGAAAGTTTGTTCCGCTGACTGGATGGTATTTTAAAGACTGGGGTTTTAGAAAGGAAAGCAGTTCAGTAGAAACTGTATTCATATTTACCACTGGTCTGATGTGGCTGATGCCTGTACCACTCAGCAACTGAACCATGTTCAGTGTAGGGGTCAGCACAGTAACGAGTTAATAGCAGTTAACTGTTTTGAACGTTGACCCTGACACTTGACCAGATTTCACTAAGCTGTCCCCACATTTCAACACCAGCCAGCCCTGCAGCCTCAGCTGTAAGACACTTGCTTTTCATGTCATGGGCAGGTCAATCCTTATGTTTCACTGGCTCCGTAATCTCACTCACGTTTTGAAGTAGGCTGCAGCAGCCACATGGTCCTAGACTGGAGGCAGGGAAGTGGGATGCTGCCAGCTCCTACCCGAACCGGAGAGGCTCCAGACCACGGCTATGGAGCTGCCTTTGCAGTAAGGCAGAATCCTGTGCTCAGCTGGCACCAAGCCCGTCCCACCTGAGCACAGACAACGCGTTCAGAGTCCCCGGTGCCGCTCGCGCGTGCCAGCCCCTGTTCTTCTGGGTCAAGAACTGGCGAGGAAAGCCCAGCAGCAAAGCCAAGGAGGTGAAGGAAGCGGCGTGCAGACGGCGCCATCCTCATCCCCGTCTCGGAGAGGCGCCTCCGTGCTCCGCCGAGCGCGAGTCTCTCAGTCCCTCCGTCCGAGTCCCGGCGGGCTGCGGCGCGGGGCTCACACCGGCAGCGCTTTGCCCCCGCGCCGCACCGCAGCGAACACGAGGCCGCCGAGGCGGCCGAGGCCGGCGGCGCCCCCGGGCAGCGCGGCCAGGAGCGCGGCGGCGGCGGCGCCCAGCTGGGCCGCGGCGCCCAGCGCCGTCAGGAGGGTGCTGCGCAGCGCCAGCGCCGCGTAGAGGGTGCCGCCGAGGGCGCCCAGGTAGAGCAGGGAGCCGCGGCTAGGCTCCCGCAGCAGGCGGGCGGGCCCGCGCAGGAGGGCGACGGCGCCCAGGGCGCAGAGCGAGCCGAGCGACCAGAGCAGCGCGAACTTGCGGGCGCGGAGAAGCAGCAGCGGCACGTACAGCGCGGCCAGCCCGAAGCAGAGCGCGGCCAGCAGCAGGCACAGCCCGCTCCCCGCCAGCCGCTGCCAGCGCGACAGCCCCGGCAGGCAGGGGTCCGCCTCGGCGGCCCATGGCCAGCCCGAGCCCGGCCCGGCCGCCGCAGGTGGGGCGCCGCGGCCCGGCGAGAAGGGGTTCACCGGGCCCAGCCAGGCCCCCGGGCCGCCACTCCCCACTGCATCCTCCTGCGAGCAGCCGGCGGGAGGCGGCGCAGGGCCCGCGTTGGCCGTGGCCTTTGAGTGCGCCAGGTACTCCTGCAGCTGCCGGCCCAGGTCCGCCATGGCGAGGCCCGGCACCGCTCCACGGCGCTACGGCGACCAGCCTAACCGCCCCGCGGCCATCTTGCGGAGCAGCTGCATCCGGGTTACCGGGGCGGCGCGCGTGCGCGGAAGGCTGAGGCGGCGGGGGCGCGCCCTCGGGTCCCTCAGTGCCGGCGGCGCGGGGCTGGGCTGGGCTGCGGGAGGTGGCCGCTGCTTTTGGGCAGGCGGGGCCGGTGAAGGAGGTGTCCTTTAAAAGAGATGTCTGAGAGGAGGAGTGGTGGGGTTCGCCGGGCAGGGGGTGCTGGGACTGGGGCGGGCGGGCAGGCAGGCAGGCAGGCACATACGTACATACATACATACATACATACATACATATATACATACGTACATACATACATACATACAGGGAGAGCCCTCAGCCGCTCCGCATGGAGCCACTGGAAGAGCTTGGCAGCTGTGACCTGCAGCACCTCATGGTCTCTTCAGCAGGGAAGAAGATGGCGTCACGTTCAAAACGTAGATGGGTCAGAGGAAGGTGGTATCTGAGGTTGATGGAGCCCACAGGGAGCTCCATGGGACACAGCAGTCCCGGAGGCCGAGCGCTGCCCAGCGCCGTGTTCCCCCAAGGTTGGCACCTGGAGTCTTCTTACGTCTAACCCTAGGTCTCTGCCTCTCTGAAGGAGAGCTGCAAGAGCAGAGACATTACATGTAGGAACCATCCCAGTGGGGCTGGAGACGTCGAGAATGACCAAGAGCTTGTCTTGTACCCCTGTGTGCTCAGCCAAACCTGTTAACTCATTGGCTGTTCATTAATAACACTAACTACTATTCTGTCCTCAACCAACTGTTACACCAAAATAAGAACGTCCAATTCTTCACCCTGGTTTAAAAAAGTAATAAATAAAAACATCAAATGCTAATTTAACCTTTATGATTCTAAATGTTCACTGCAGGGCTGAAAAAAATGAGTTGTTTGGACAGCAGGAAACAGCCAGCACAGTTTCCATCATCAGTGTGCAGCACTATCCATAGCAATGGTGAGTCACAGTGTATTCGGCTGCCTCACAAGATGCAGATCAAGTCTGAAATCGCTGTTGGCCAGGAGCTGCCTGCCCCATTTGGGGGATCAATTTAGCATTGGTACATTGATACAAGTCAGAGGGCATAGCACTCTCTACCTGCTCAGGACAAAGTTTAATGGTTGGCAAGACTGGATTGGATCATAGAATGGTTTGGGTTAGAAGGAATCTTAACGCTCATCCAGTTCCAACCCCCTGCCACGGACAGGGACACCTTTCACTAGAGCTGGTTGCTCTAAGCCCCTGTGTCCAACTTGGCCTTGAACACTGCCAGGGATGGGGCAGCCACAGCTTCTCTGGGCACCCTGTGCCGGATGTTTTCAGAAACATTGCACCTGGAGGTGTCTTTGGGAGCAGGATCCCTCTTTGCCAGCAAAGGGTATCATCTAACTGCTTTCTACAACATAGCCTTCCAGGCTGCGTCTTCTGCTGCCCTGACAGTAAAGCACGCTGCAAAGATGTTTTCCCCTTGCGTTGAGGATGTGCCATGAGTGTAATAGTCTGTAGTGGCTGGGAGGAAGCGTAGTTCTTTGTTTATAGGAAAATGAAGTCATGTCAGTGAGGTGTATGTCAGATATAACTGTACACCAGATAGCGGCTCTGTGACAACGCGTTTACCTTCTCCCTCCGGGCTCACAGTAGCACCCGAGGCGGTTACTGTCGGGCGGCACGAAGCGGCGGTGGGACAGCGCCGTGCCCCGGGGCCGCCGGCTCCCCGCCGCTCCCGAACTTTCCCTTTATAGGAAAAGTATGCGCGGGGCCGGGGGGGCTGCCCTGAGTCACCGGTGGCCGCGGCTCCCGCCCACACCCAGGGGCCCGGGCCGCCGCTACCGCCGGGCAGGGGCGGGGTTTGCGCTGCCCGCCAGGGCTCGCTGGGACTGGTGTCGCCCCGCCGAGCCGCGTGTGCCGCCCCGCAGCCTCTCCGCCACGGCCCGGCGCCGGCCGGGAGCGCGCCGCCATGACGGGCAGGTAAGGGCGGGGAGCGGGAAGCCCGGCCGGCAACCGGGGGTCGGTGGGTCCCGCGCTGGGCTGTCCCTGCCTTCGCTGGCCCTGTGGAGGGTCGGGGAGAGGTCCCGTGTGCCCGGGAGGAAGCGGTAGGGGGAAGAGGACGTTCTGTAAGGTTCAGGCGGCGCGGCCAGCTCCCGTACCGCTCCGTGGGATGGAAGAGTCGGAAACAGCTTCTTGGAAGAGCAGAGTAAGGGCTGCTCCGATGTGCCTTACCCCTGCGTGGGGCAGTGGGAAGACCAGAAACAGAGTTGGAAAGGAGCAGCGGCGAATCTGAGCTGTGTCCGCCCAGCAGCCGGGTTCCCTGCAGCCTGTTCCCGCTTGTGTCCCGCACTTCGGGACCCTTCTGACTGGTCTTCACGCTGCCCTTCTGCCCGCACGGTTTGCGCCTCTTTTGGCTGTGGCCTTATTGTTACACTTCTCAAGAGCTGTTTAAATGTGAAGCTTCATTCTCCTCCCACGCTGACACTGGGCGGAACTCTGTAAAGTCACCTAATAGACAGCTGTTAATGAGAAAAGCGGTGGGGAGAGGTTTTACTGTTATCTTCCAAGGGTTTGCACAAATGCTTTAGTGTCTTTGGTCACTTTGTTCTCCCATCTGTAAAATAAGAGACAGACGTTATAAAGCAGTTTGTGAAAATAAGCTTGCTTTTGAAAAATATCTTGAAGACGAAAAGCATGAAGAAGTGAAGTAATACTAGTATTAGCAGGGTGCCTTTGATAAGATAGCCACCCTCCGGAATCCTACTGTCATTGTAATCCTGAAGCATTGCTCTTCATGGCCGGGAATACTGAAATGGATCTGGAGTAGTTTGTGTATAGTGCTCATTTTTCTTTTATGTAAAGTGTTGATGTTTCTGTTATGCAGCTTCTTATGATTATTCCATGTAGATCATGTTTGGTGGGTTGTTAGGTATGAGTACATGCTGAGTAACTGTTATATCCTTATCTGTGATTTTCGTGAGTGTTATTTTTGCTCTCCATGATAATGGATTGATGCTGACTTGTGGTTAAAACACTTGTGTTTTGCTTCCTGTCTTTTGATTACTTTGTCTTTTCTGTCTTAATGGTCCCTTTTTTGTTCTTTGACATGTGGGATAGGTGTGTATTTACACCTTTACAGTAATTTCCTTACAAATAGAGGAAGACTCAAGAGTCTTAAATATTCATAGGTCATGGGCAGCTCCTGAAAGGGAACAAGATGGGGAGGACCTGGGAAGACCTGTGGCTGTATGAACCCAGGTGGTTCTGTTTTTATAGAACTGTGGTATAGTACTGTTCAGAATGACATGTTTTCTCAGGTGAAGTTACTCAGCTGCAGAGGGCAGTGAGAAATGCCTGTGGCCAGTAATCCTTGTTGTCTTCTAAAGGTGCTTCTTCAGAAACCTGCCTGTTAAGGTATAGCGCTGTATTGAGTGAAAAGCTTTGGTGTGAAGCATGAGTTCTGATGGAGGTAATTGAGACACTGCAGAGTGTGCAGGTCTTCAAAAGTAATGCAGAATTTCTGTCTCCTTCTCCTCAGATGTACTTTAGAGGGTTGTTAAAATAAGCAGGCCTTGGCTTTAACTTTTTGGAGAAGGAATGCAGCTGTTATTTAATGTTTTCAGAAATGTTTGTCCTAGAAAGTGTGTCAGCTATGAAAATGTCTGATTTTCTGCTTGCTGTCACTGATAGGACAGAAAGATTAACTGTTCTATCAGAGACATGTATCATAGCTGTAATTCAACAAACCTTTTCCTCGGTAATTGTATAATCCACTTAGGGTAGCAGTTGCCCAGCAAAACAAAAGCTGTACTTTTCAGTGTCTGCGAAACATTGCACTGCTGAGCAGCTTGCATGACTGATGGCATCAGACAAGCACTGTGTTTAGTGTTGTTATCAGGCTGTGACAGACTCTGAAGTCATTAGAAAGAATTCGGCACTGACAATGTACCTCCTTAGATCCGCCTACAGGTCACTCGATTGAACTGTATCCAGCTGTTGATGGATATTAGTTACCTGGTAGTTCTTGAAATCTGTTGACATTATGTAACCAAATGTTCTCCAGCATTTGCGATTCAGGGCTTTGGGGGTACTGGAAGGAGATGAACTGTTTTCACAGCTGAAGCATCCCCATAATATCCATCACTGGGAACCTTCCAGAGCCAGGAACATGACATCAGTGTGCCTCTGGTCTTGAAACTGTTGACACAAGGAGGGGAATGATTTTTGTGTTACAGTGTGTTAAAGCAAGGAAGACTGGAGAAGGTGAAGTGCTAGCACATTATTCTTTTTCACTTTACCTTTCTTGTCAAATAGAAACATAAAAGGACTCTCTTCTAGTTACTGCTAGTTACTAATCATTAAGATTGATGAAAAATAACTCCATTTTCAAGTGTTCTGTCCCATTTACCTGCAGAGAGTGTCTCCTGAATTTCAGTAGCTGCAGTTATTCAATTTACTGATTTTTATCATTAGGGAAGACTATAATTCCACAAAAATACAAAGAAAGATGTACACTTATATGTATTCCTAATAGAAAAGTATTAAAATGGGTGACTGTTTAGCAAATGGAAACTGGAATATTATGTGCATCACAAGTTACATTGTGACAATGGGAGGAAAACCATAGATCACTGGAACTTGTAAATAGTAATTCTGACTGCCACGTCTTGGCTGAGCTGTTTTATTTCTCTGTGTCTTGACTAAAGTGGCTATCATAGCCCCTAATTTCAAGAGCAGTCTGTAGTTTAAAGGGATGCTGTTAACTCAAATAAAAGTCACACTTTATTTGAGTATATCTGTTTGAGCTAACATCCAAAGGTGACAGAAAGTTATTAAGGAGAGATATGTATTTTTGAGTTACATGTTGTGTAATTACATTTGGAAATAAAGTCTGTATTAAGAGGTAGTGTGTTAGATATAAAACCAGTATGTTTCTAAGCAGCCTTTCTATATTTTGCAGTGTTGAGAAGTACAGTTTGTGTGGGCTTTGGTGCCTTTAGAAGTACACTGTGGTACTTCATTACCAAGGAATAAGTGAAGACTGCTTCTGTAATTTGTATTTGATATGTTTGGTCCATCTCTCTATTATGATTTTGCCTTTTCAAGGATGGTTGGGGGTCGGTTGTTGTAAGGGGTTTTGTTGGTTTTTGGGGATGGTTTGGTTTCTTTTGGGTTTTTTTTTACTAATGTGTTTTGCCCTGTTTTCTTTGTTCTTGATGAACTTTTTCCTAAGAAAGAGGGTCAGTTAATGACTGGTGAACCAAACACTGTAGAAAATAAACCAAAATTGAAGGTAACTTCTTGTAAGACTTTGCTGTGGCGTTGATTAGAAAACAAAAAGGTAACAAAAGCCTGTGCTGGGTTTTTTGCTTTTAGAAATTAATCTAATACAAAGCCCAAGGAAATATGTTTTCCAAAGTGCATGTTTCAGGGCATAATTATTTTTGTAAGAAATTTGTGTTATCACTATATTTGGTCTAATTGGGATCTGGATACGCCTATGCACTTCCTGCAGTCAACAAAAGAAGAACAGCTGCATTTACAGATACGCTTATTGATTGTTCCTAATCCACTTGAGGTAAGAAATAAGGATATATTATTTTCGATTGGGCTAGCATTTGACTAGGTGCTTTTTAATTCAGTAGAGAGCTGCTGCTGTGCAAATGCTCCATTTTATGAAGTAATTGCAGGGAAAATCGTTTGGAGGAGGAGGGAGTATAGAGGTCGATAATACTAAGAAAGGTTGTTAGCACTGACTAGAAAGTTACCAAACTAATAGATGTCTCATCTCTGAGTTGTAAGCAGCCATTTCTACTCCTCTGGGTTGAAAAATGTGATTTTAATCTTATAATCTTTCCATCCACATCTGCTCTCTGAGGTTCTCCTAGATAATTTTAGCTTGTAAGGTCCTAAGTAGTCTGTTCTGGGGGACATAATGATGGTTCTCTGAGAATAACTACTTGTTAATGCCTAAAAGAAGCCTAGCTGCTTTCTTCTCTGCTTTGGCCCAGAAAGTAACCAGCTGTGAGATTTTGGCATTGACTCTGTCTTTTAAAAGCTCTTTGTCAAGAGAGAAAGAAAACCAAAATCATGTATTTGGACTCTTAATGTGCGAGGAGTGAGTAAGCAAGTGAGTTTGTGTTGAGGGATGGGAAGACGGGATAGTTACTGTTTTGATGTTTTTTTCCTTCAATCCCCTCATCTTCCCTTTTGAAGAAGAGAATCATACTTTGCTGTGGAAGAGTGAGTATTTGAAAACCAATAAAATCATGTTGTATGAGTCAGAAGAGTAAAAGCTTAGTTGTTTGAGAGAGGAGATGTTTAGCCAGATAGCTTAAGTTTAAGGGAGATTAATCATAGAATGTCTCAAGTTGGAAGGGACCCATGCGGATCATCAAGTCCAGCTCCCCGTTCCTTGCAGGACTACCTAAAACTAAACTATACGCCTTAAGAGTGTTGTCCAGATGCTCCTTAAGCTCTGACAGGTTTGGTGCCATTAATATTCTGCTTTGTGGTTAAAGTAAAAGGTGATTTAATATAACAATTTAGAACAAGTGTTTTATTGCTCTAAAATTTAAGAAATCAGCAAAAGCACCCAGTGTGAAGGACATTTTTCTTCTGTTCCTTTTATATCATAAAGTAGAAATGGGTAAAGCACACATGCAAACTGAAAGAATGATAGTGGCAGATTGCTGTCAGAGGTCAGCAGTCTGAAACTCCCAACAAAATGCAGGGTGAATTGTAGGTTTGGAGGTTGCCAATTCCTGAGTTTGAATCTACGGTGTTTTTTATTTGTGCCTGTTCTGCTGGGTCCTAGCAAACCCTTGTGTTTTTCTTTAAAGGATAGAAGAAGAGATCTCTGCTGGTTCATACTCATTTAGTACTTAGGAAGTCATCACTTCTCACTTTCTCCAGGTTCTAGTTGTGGAATATATTTTACTCTCATGCAATAAAAATCCTCATTTTGATACAATTTATTAAAAAATAATTTATTACTAATGACTCTTGAGATGTTTTTCATGGTGTTGCTGATCAAATGACACTGACTCAGATGCTCCCATCCTCCAATCCTTTCCCTTTGTCCTCTTAAAAACTGACCTCAGTATTCTGAAAATCCTTCCCTTTCTGCCCCCTACAATGGGCCGAGCCATTTGTGCTGTGAGCCTCTTTCTCTCTTGCAGGGGTGGGTGGAGAGGAGTGGTGATAGAAAGGGCAAACTCCTGCTCGAAGGCCCTGTTCAGTTCGCAGCAAAGCGCTCTGGAGGCTGGAATGCCAAGTATGTTCCTTCTCCCTGCTTCCTGACCTTCTGCTGCATGCCACTTCTGCAGGCTGGAGTGCTTCCGGGAAGCAAAAATCCTTATGGTTTTGTTTCTTGGAATATGCTCTATCCAAATGGAAGGAACAGTTCTGTTGTTTGTGGAATCCTTAAGACATTTTGTGATGCAGCAGCCTTCAGGGACCCACCTTAGAGATGCCAGGGTCAGATATGGATCTGCAGTAAACTAAACTGTTTATTCTCAAGAGATCTAATAATCCATTTTGGTTTTCTATATTTTTGTGTTGCTTTGATTAAAAAGTTTTCTCAAATTAAGTGGATTGATTATGTGAAAGCTCAGGACTTTTTGTTTTAATCTCACTCATGAAATTTATATAGATACATTGTACAAGCCTAACACAGAATGACTTCCTGGTACAGACTCCTGGTGTGCTGGCTTAAATAGGTAATTACTAGTGGAATACAGGAAAGAGGTTGTCTGATCTTGAAGACTGCAGGAGAGTGGCAGATGAACTGAAGGAAACAGTGCTCGAACTGCGGTCTGTGCATCCTGCTTTAGCTCTTCTAAAATGTAAAGGCAACTCCCAAAAGGAAGGTGACTCATTGAATATCAGTGTTGCCAGTGTTTGCTCCAGTTGTCTCTCTGCCTTCCCCTTCACAGTGGCATTGGGTGCCATGGCTGGCCTGAGACTTCGAGGGCTGGCATCTTCCAAACTTTATCAACGCCGGCAGGATCGGCTAAGTGGCACAGGGTCACTCCTGAGCAACAGAACAGATACAGCAGCTGGGATACGTGGGTATGTCTCTGAGATGAAAGGAATGGCATTGTTGAATCATTTTCCAGGAATTGATAGATGTACAGTTTTGATGGTGTGTCTTTTCTGTTTAAAGCGGGAATTGTCTGCACACAGCCGGAGGGGATGAAGTCTGTTTATTTCCATTTCCAAGTTGATTACGAAGGAAAAGACTTTCCTCATGAGAAAGCTTTCTGTTTTTAACAATAACAGGAAAGCAACAGTGGAGAACCTTCCCCATTTTGAAGCACTGTACAAGACTGTTCAGAACCAACATTAGGGCTGGTGTCATTAGTGGTGAAGTATTAAGGTACTGTGGGAATAAAGAAATGGTGAAATGTAGTCATTTTTCTAAATGTTGATTAAATTCTACTGTTCCTTTATTTGTAGGGTGCAGCAGTGCATTTTTTCACATATACCCTTAACAGTAAGCTGGTTCATTTTGGTTTTTATAAGCTCCAGTCTGGCAGAAACTGAAGCTTTGTGTGTAGCTGCTGCTTGAGATTATTTAGAACACATCAACCAAAGCTTCTTAAATCTTCCCAGACAATTCCTTTGCTTCATTTGATCATTGCTGTTGCTGTGCTTTGGATCAAAATTTTCCTTTACTTTTTAATTTTAGTTGAAGCTAATTTGGGGCAGGAGAGAAAGGAACAAGAACTAAAACCAGTGTCTTACATTTTGGGAGAACTGTGAGCTGCAGCAGCAATATGGGATCTGAATTCTGTGTCACTGGGGAGTTCAATGAGCACGTTGGAGCGGAGTGTTTTTTTTGTAGCAGTCACAAGTTTTGAATTTCAGTCTTTTCTTAGCAGGAGGTAGACCTGATGCTTACCTGTGATTGAGCTGGTTTGCATCTTAGTTTGAACTGTGGGTCCCTGACTAGAGCCCTACTTTTCCCACTATTTGTCTTTTAGCCTAAAGCTATTATTTAGTTGGTAAATTTTCAGGTTTTCCTACACAAAGTCATGGGTGTGAACGTGTGAGAATTTAGTGAGGATGGGGATAAGAAGGTAGTGAAAGAAATGGTGATGCCGTTGAGCAGAGGATGCTGTTCAGGGAGTAAGAAGCATAGAAGGGACCTGTGAGAGAAAAGAAGGTAAGCACTGAGGAAGCAGCAGTGGAACACAAACAGCAGAGTGTGAGCTGGAGATAGGAAGGATGAGGAGATAAATGCCCAGATATAGTCACCTCACATTGTCAAAATGTAGTTTGCTTCCAGCTATTTAACTCTTTCACTGTAACCTGTAGCAGCATGTTTATAGTACTTGGCGCTACACTAGTATGGTTTTTGGTGGAGAAGAAGGTTCATTCTCATTTGCCTTCTATGTCAGCTCCATTTCAGGAGCTGGAAGAAAAGTAAACGTAAATCCACATATTTTGGTTGTACTCAGCTGGTAATAATAGATGATATTATCTGGGAATTTTATCTCCTGAATTACTTGTATTTTATCCACAGTTTTTGAGCTTCTGATGTTTTTTGCTTCTCCTTCCTGGTAAGTCCTGATAACTTATGTCCTTTCTTCAGGCAAATGAGAGTAATCCGAAGTAGAGTTGCTGCTAGTTGGATGATAATTGATGAACCCATTCAGGAATGGTCTGTCTTATCAGTGCTGGTAAACAAACATTTTAACTCCTTTGAGATAAATGGAAGTGAAGAAGAGAAACGTTGTATGTATGTAGGGAGTTATTTATCAAATACACATTGTAGGTGAAGTGGTACATGCTTAATAATAAAAGGATGTTTTTCCTGTGTAAAATGTATAATCTGTTTGAAACCTGTGCCTTTCTTTACATTGTTGATGTTTCCTGGGCTGAGTGAACGCCGCTAAGTGTGTGTCTTTTTAAGTAACTGGTCATGGTTCACTGAAAATAAATATTGCATTGTGTTGAGAGGGACTACAAAGTACCTGTGGCACAGGGATTTTTTCTGTGTGAATACCCATAGACTTCCATTGCTGCTCCTGGTCTCAAAGGTCTCTCTGATTGTGGCTTCCCCTGCAGGCCAACCATATGGACGTTGTTCTCAGTTGAAATGTGTGGCAGCTGGCTTCTGTTAACAGCAAGGAGAGACAAGGAGCTGTAAAGAGTTCCTTCCCCCCCCCCCCCCCCCCCCTTGTGACCATAAGTTTCATTTGTATGTTTTTCTTTTCTTTGGTTGTCCTTGTGTAGAAAATAAGAACAAAAAAGTGTTTGTTTTGTTAAGAGAGATTGGGGGCTGTATGGTCAAGGAAGCTATGCTGAGAGAAATGCTATACATTTCTTACTTAGCCAGCTGTAAAAAAATAGGGAATGAACTGAAAATTCAGTGCAAGGAGAAGTGCTTAAATTGTTAAGCTGTGTGCATAGTTTTATCAAGTGCACGACAAAGCATACATTTAACAAATGGGATTTCATGGCAAGCTTAGTAATAACCTTAAAGAAGTTAAATCACTTTGCAAAAGTTGCCCAGATAGACGTCCATTGCAGTGAAAAGAACAATAAGGTAGTTGAGGGCTATTTATCAGCAGAAGATCATGAACTGGTGGCCTTCCTCTTTCTTTTTTCTTTGTATTAGTCATTGTCTGTGAAATGAATCATAAGGTCTGGTGTTGTCTGGCAATTTTTTTGGGGGTTTTGTCGTGGTCAACATTAAGGACTTAAAGCCACAAATCCTCAACCATGCTATGGGGGTGGGAAGAAGCCCCTCTCCTGGAGTGTTCTGGTTTTTATCTTAGCTACTGGCACCTATGATATATACAGTTAGTGACAGCTTTCTAGGTGTTTGACTTTATCCTAGGCATTTCTGTGTGTACACATACCAGAAATGATCATGTAAATGTTATGATATTGTGATATCTTCTGTGTACACCAGCTTCTATTGGTAGACCAGAATGAGCGGAGAGTACCTCTCTAGGATTCCCTAGCATAGGTGCAGTGTCAGTGTGCTGAGATTTGGAAAATTCCCTGGGTTCTTCCATCTGGAAATGTTGTCTTCCTTTCTTTTTGTAGTATCTTTAAGGTCGTTGGTCATTTTTGTATTAAAAGTAATTCTTCATTCAGCCTTGTGATGGGGAACTCCCTCTGATGCTAAATATCAAAAGGTTTTGAGACAATTTAAAGCACTCCTTGCACCTGCAGTTCCTTTCTTGGACCTGATGAAATCTGGGACTGTTCATTTGTTCTCCTCTTTGTCTAGTTGTCTGATTCATCTGTGTTTAAGCTATTGAATTCTACTAATGCAAAGGCTGGAGTTTCTCTTCTACTGTCTTTGCAGTTCAAATATTAGATTTGTCTTTTTTCCCCCAACCTGTCACCAGTGCTAGATTCCTGTGGACAAATGTTTAAAAAAGGATGTAAAAGTATAGAACCTGCTGGTATTTAAGTCCAACCCTTTTATCTGATATCCCCCCCTAGATGTACAGTATTATGCAGGCCCAATTTCTTGAACCTATATGAGAATATGATGTGAAAAATATGACATTTGCTAGTCCAAATATATAGGAAACCAGTTTTTAGAAGATAGTGACTTTAGTGAAATAAGAAAGCAAAATGCTTTCAAACCTGTACCGGTGACACAGAATGGGTCTCCCAATTAACTTTTACTTCTTATAAAACAAGGATTTTTTTCTCTTTATATGTTTATACTAAGACTTTATATTAAGTACTTCTGAGAAGTCAAAGCATAAGAAACCCACACTTAATGGTAAATAACTAATTTCTGTAGGTACTTTGGTAATTTGTTAACGATGTGGCATGTAATGGTGAAAGATTGGAAAAAGCGTGGTTTGAGCACTGTATTTTGGGGCTTTGCACAGGACAGGATAACTTCAGGATGTTGCGCTGGTCATGTTTTAATAGCCTTTCCTGTCTTTGTGTCAGCAGCTTATTGTTAAAACAGAGGAAGATTCTGTATTTAACTAATTGCAAAAAGATCAGCAAACAGAATACAAGAAGCACTCCATATTGGGGACTGTCCTTTGTGGGGAGGATTCAAATCTAAATGTCTTACGATGGACACAGCAAGTCAAACTTTTGTGATCATTCTTGACACCACCATCAAAAGGGTGCCTTTGGTGTTGTTCTTCCTCTCCCAGCGCATTGGTGGTTTTTCCCTGTGTATAATATTGTGTTGTTAAAGAAGTATTGGGATATCTTGAGCAAAATTCCATAGTTAGAAGTTGGACCTTTGGAATCATCATGCATCAACAGAACAGTAAATAAACTCTTGGGCTCTAGATAGTCCCTTCCTTTTGCAAATGAATGAGGTAAATTACTCTTTTGAGAGTTAAAAAGTTAATCCAAAGTCGTACTTTGTGCTAAGGGAAGATAGAACAGCTAATAATAGTGCATTTGGCTTTCAGTAGGAATTTAAATTTCACAACAGATTTTATATTGTTTAGAAGTTAGGGTTTACTGTGGGGTTACTCTGTCTTGACGGCCCTCAAATGCTGGTTTCAGAATGGAGGCTCCTGAAAGCCTTATTCTTATGAGTGAGTCCCTACCTCTTCATTATCTTTCTCACCAACACAGCCATTCAGCTTGTGTGGGAATCTCTCCCAGGATAAGTACACTCAGTAGTGTTTGATGTGAACTGTCGCACTTGTGAGCTTACCCTATGTTTCATACAGGAACATGGCTGCAGTCGTTGCACATTGCCATTGGAATGGTGGCATCTCTGTTCTTTCAGAGTTCAGCCAACGGGGGAGTTGGTAGTTGCAGTGATGGGCTGTAGAGTGTTGTTAAAGTCCATTTGAAGAAAGGAAAAATCCTATGGGATTTTTAAAATGTTTATTTTATGTTACTAAAGCACGAGACCCCCAACATACACAACCTCAAATCATGCTTTGCTGTTCGTGTGTAGGGTGTAATACTCGCTGTTGTGTAGGAAACCATGAGACTCTGGAACACTGTTTGCCTGTTTCTTCTGCCATAACCCAAAGGAGCTTTTTTGCTGATGTTGACATGAGGTTTTCATTGTCATGGCTGTTGCCTAGCTCATGGCTTGGGATTCAGGCATCAAATTTTTCAAGAGGGAAAGAATACTTGATGGGGACGTTCTGTTTTCAAGTCCTGGTACCCCTCTGCATGATGTAACTGAAAGAGTAGCAACTGAAAACTAAGCCGATTAGGTCTCTTGGCTTTGCTGCAAACACTGATGGTTTTGTGTTTAACCTATGATCTCTGGTTTATGAAACTACGGAGTTTCCTGCTTGTCCATAAATCCATTCCCTTTCTGTTTGGGTTTTTTTTTTGAGCTCCTTCATACTGCAATAAAGAAACAAGTTGTAACAAATTTTTGCTAGATCAGTACTCCATCCTTGAAATTATTAGGAGCTTCCTTGGTCTTTACCACCCTTGGAATTGCAGGGGCAGAAAGAAAGTCTTATTTTTATGGAAGGGTCACTCAAGGTCACAGTGTAGGATGTTTGTACAGGCTGCAGATGTGATCCATTTGGCTCAGCTGGGCCAGCTGAAGTACAGGGCTGGTTTTGTTGCCTTGGGAGCATGAGGCTGCTGCCTGCACTTCTGCCTGCTCATTTTAGCTGTGCTCAGAGCACAAAACCCTGGGATACAAACGGTGTTTCTGCAAGGGTGCCTCTGAGCAGAGGAAAGAGAATCTTCTACTGGAACATGCTTATTGAATTACTGTTCTCTATGAAGAGGTGTGGAAGGTAGCATGTCAGGTTGTAGAATAACATTAACAATGGAAATTCACTTCAAAGTAGCTTTGAATATGAAAAGAAAGCAAAACCACTTTTAAACCAAGCCATCTTTCATTTTATACATTATGTACTTCAGGAAAGTACTACACAGATCTTTCTGAGATCTTTAACATGCTTGAAGTTATACTCCCAGTTATAAACCTGCTATCTTTTGAATCATAGACTCCAGAAGGTGGCCAGAAAGCGAAAAATAGAGTTCTTCTCTATATCTTAAAGTGAAACAATAGTGATTTTTTTATATTATTGGACAGTCTGGTGATTAAAAGAAAAACAGCATTGCAACAAGAAACTGACTCCTTAAAATTTTTCCTTCCCTGTTTGGCCATGCTGTGTATGATTTTAAAGCTGCATTCTGCTGGTATGTAGCGAACTTAAATTGCCATGACGGCAAGCATGAAAATATTGTGAAAGAGATTCATGTCATTCCACATTTTAGGGGCGACAGAGGAAATGACCTTTACGTGATTTGCAAGTGTGGCTTGGGTGTTCTTTAGCCTCACTTTCTGAGGAAATGGAGCTGATGCATTTGCCAAGCCAGCCAGAGTGACTTCTCTCTTTCCATACCTTGTTAACACTTGGACAATTTCAACTAATTTGTTGGGAAGACAGAGGCATTGTATGCAATTATTTTCTAATTAATTTTGTACACATGAATTGCTGGGTAGAAGGGAAAATGCCCTGTTAATCCCTGCAGTGAAAGGGAGACTGCAGTGGGATATCAGTGCTTATTACACATCAAAGAATCCTTGGAGGTGTACATCCTGAGAGTAGAAATTCCAAGAAGTCAGGATCATTGTGTTTGCTACTCTTGGAACTCCTGGTTTATTTAAAATGGTGGATATTTGCTATGAGCCACTAGCAGGATGACATAACAGGATGAAAGTCTGGGGAAGCAGCCAAAAGCGTGCAATGGGTAGGTCTGCTACTTGAGCTCATTCTGCCACGTGTGAGTAGCAAGGACATTATTTAGAGCTATGTCAGTGCTGAATTGACTCATTGGTCCTTGTTTATTGTAAAAGGGAGTTTAAAGCTGTGGAAAAGTGTGGGGGGAAGTTTCCCCAAGTTGGGGGAAACTTGGATGGTATCATTATACTCGTGTAATTGGCTGTGACACTGCTCATATTCTTACTCTTGTCTTTATTCCAGTAATATGTCTGATGCTCTCGCAAATGCAATATGTGAACGCTGCCAGGCTCGATTTGATCCTGCAGAGAAGATTGTCAACAGCAATGGGGAACTTTATCATGAAAATTGCTTTGTCTGTGCTCAGTGTTTCCGTCAGTTCCCAGATGGACTATTTTATGAGGTGAGATTGCATACTGTGTAAGAGAAGAGAAACAGCTACATTAAAATACAAGAAATTAGATGAAAATTCTGCCCATGATATGATTTTACATCTTTCTCACATGTTTAATTTCTTAGTCCTAAACCTTTGTTGCTATTTTTGGAGGGGCTTTGGACCTAGTTTCCCTGATTTTAATTCTTACACGTTCCTTCCTATACATCAGTAACAACAAAAACTGTATGCTTGCTTTTGGGGTAAGAGGAATTTCAAATGAAAATAGAAACTATTTGTTAATATTTCGTAAGGCAAAAGTGTTTTTTTGGTCTTTATTTTTAGACATTTTATACCCAACCTTTCCAAAATTGGTGGATCTATTGAAAAACAAGGTTGAAGTATTTTTACAGACTGTGTGCAAGCACACATTTTGAATAACACATTGGTTTAAATATGCTGCATTCTTAATTCGGCTTGAGTTTTAACCTCATGTAGGAGGAGAAGTTCTGAATTACATGAGTAATAGAAAATAAAGCAATAATGAAATTAAAGTCAACTCTAGGAAAAGGGCTTTGGAAACTTCAAGATTTTTACCATCTTGCAGTAGCACTGCTATTAATTTAGCAAATTGACCGCAAGGCCAAAGCCATATCTGGGTATATCCTTATGGAAATTCCTTAGGAGTTTAAGAACAGGTGAGGGGGAGCTAGAACTGCAAAACTTGACTTACCTTGACTTGATCATTTCAAAAGAAAATCATGCTGAACTGTCAAGACACGAGGGTAGTTCAGTTACTCATGAGGGCTCCTTCTGTCTTGTTTTTTTCCCAGTTTGAAGGTCGGAAGTACTGTGAACATGACTTTCAGATGCTGTTTGCTCCTTGCTGTGGGGAATGTGGTAAGATGTGGTGCAGGCCAGTACCGTGGGGTAACAGGTAGAGAGCTGTGCAAACCTCTTACCACTGCAGAGGTTATTTTAAAGAGCTCTGGAGTGAAACAAAGTGAGATACCAGCAGTGCTTTGAGGTATCCTGGTTGTGGGAGTAGTTGTTTTGTTTGTGGGGTTTTTGTTTTGGTTTATGTTGGTATTTTTCAAAGTTAGACTCTACTAGTTCTTGTGAAATTGAAGTGGAAGGATTATAAAGGGCAGTAGACTTTCAGGAAGACTGTTTTCTGCATATATCTCAAGGTGTTGCTTTCGTTTTGCAGGTGAGTTCATTATTGGGCGTGTTATCAAGGCAATGAACAACAACTGGCACCCAGAATGTTTCCGCTGTGAGCTCTGCGATGTAGCACTTGCTGACCTGGGTTTTGTGAGGAATGCTGGCAGGTAAGACAGAGCAGGAGCTCTGAAAGTTTAATCTGTTTGTTACTGATATGATGGTGAGATGCTGAGGGTGGTCAGTTAGTTGTACACTGGGAGGTAAAGCTTGAAAAGGTATAGAAGAAGCTTGAAGGAATAGCTTCATAGGAGACGAGAAATGGAATGAAGAACAGTGTTCTTCATCCAATGAAACATGTAGAAAGCAAAAGCTCGAATTTTATTACATAGTGCATGGGTTCTGGAAATTAAAGGGATTTCAGGCAAAAGGCTAAATAGCAAGTGAGTAAAAGGGATTGTGTGATCCTGGGCAGGCTATTTATGGAGTAAGCTGCTGAACAGGAAATCAAGTATAGCAAAAGAGTAAGAGAATAACATGAGGATTACAGGAAAGCCTGTTCCCCTGTTTTTCTGAAATAATTCATTTTATATATGGAAATATAAAAAAGAGTCTTAAAGGTTGATTAATGCATTTAATTAAGAAGTAAGAAAAAAAAACAACACTGCAGGGCACTTGTACAAAAGCATACCATGATAAGAAAATAAAACAATCCAGCAGTTAGCAGACACTGTTGCTCAATTCATAGTTAATTTCAGGCTTTCATATGTCTTGAGCAAAGTCTAGTAGTTTCCTAGAGATTATATTGTCACTAACTAAATGGTAAAAAAAGGGAAAGAAGGGCTATACACATCTACCCTGTCCAGCAGGGAGTCCTCTCAACTCTCTCTTCTCTTCCATCCTTCATACAACTTCCTTGAATTAGTTTCTGGAGTTGGACATAACTGATTTTCTTGTGACCCCTAAGCTTGTTAGAATGGGCTGTTGTGATAGCCCTGAGGGTGTTTTGGGAAGGCAGCCAGGATTGAAGCAGTTCAAGCAAGATAAAGCATATTTGATTTCATTGTTTGTGGACCAAATCTAAACAGGTAAGGAATTCATTCCCAAGAGCATTGAAAAGAGATATGCAAATGTATGTATCTGCACATAAAAAGTATAAATTACATTATTTCGTTTAATATTTATCTCCATAGCATAGAAGCTGTCTTCTAGGAAATAATATTGGAAACTTTTAGGTTCTTTTTCCTGCTTCTCATTGTACCTGGTCTTCCCTAGTGTGCCTGTCATTTCCAGGCATATTCGACTGGATACGATGTGTATCAGTGAGGATAGTTAAGATAATCCGTACTTTATCTGTAGTGAGGGAATAGCCTTGCTAGAGAAGTCACCAAAAAAAAAGTTCTAAAACACCTCAAAGATACAAATCTCTTCTGGGCAAAGTAGACTGAACTCCTTCATATGCTTCCTATTCACTTTTGCCATTTGGTTTCATGTTTTTATAATTCAGTATGTGGTTAAGATGAAGGCTGTATTCCTAAACAGCCCTTTTCAATTCTTTACTTTGGGGGTTACCTGGATATCTGATGTTTTGCTAGGAGCTACTTAAAAGAGGCAAAATACTAAAAGTTGTCCTACTTCTGCTTGCAGCTTTTAGACAATGGCAGAGGGTGGATAGGAAAGGCAGTGTGAAGTTTAGTGCTCAACTTGAGCTCTGAATGCTGAGAAGAAGTAAAAGACTTGTAAGTCCTGTCTTAATTCCAGTCCAGGTTGGGTGCAGTGCAGCATTTTGGTCTTTTTTTTTTTCCTTTCCACCATTTAGTGTCAATTTTCTGCATATGATGTTTAAGCGCTTTGAATTCAGAGACTTGAACACAGTGTGCAGGCATCCTATCCTTTCATCAAGGCAGGTTCGTTGCAGGAGTGTCTCAGGAGCTGGCACAGTATAAAATGTTAAGTAGGCTGTATGCGTTGTGCAGAGGAAGAGTTGTTGTGGATGCTTTGGGAGTTCAGTTTGGTTTGGTTTGGTTTGGTTTTAAATATATGAGTTTAATATCTTCTTTGCTTCCTTCCCTGTTCCTAAGTGTTGAGCCCTCAGTTTCACATCTTGGAAATCAGTAGAACTGTACGTGTGTTTGCAGTTTCAGTAAGACAAAACCACGCAACCTCTGTTGTCAGAGTGGTTCTTGCTAATTGCAGTCCCATAAAAACAACAGAACTTCCCTCCTCAAGGTGGGTTTGACTCCGGGTGTACTATCTCACTGCATACTTGCGCTCTCAGCTGGTTCTGGTAGAGTAGAGCATTCTTAAGTTGAAGCGGTGACAAGAGTTGTGTTCACAGTTCAGATTTAGCACTTAGTGAGCTTTCATTTGTCTTACCCTCGTATGTTTGAGGCAACATTGCAGTCTTTTTATCACAAAACAGATTGCACAAAGCCTCACGGAATTTCTCAGCTACAAAAAAATACATGACTGGGTCAAAGGCACCATTTAAACTTGTGAGGCAGGAAGTGATGCGGTTACTGAGGGCTAGAATACGCTGCGTTTCACAGGAAGTTTTGGTTCCGTTGTAATGGAGAATGTAAATGTAGCGATTGACGTGATAAGGTACAAAGCAAACCAGAAAGATCAGCAGGACCATGATGATCATTTTGATAGCTTTTTCCTTCAGGTGTTTCTCCACTCTGTTCCCACTCTTCAGACTTCGGATGATCAATAAGTAGCAAGTCACTGTAGTAACAAACGGGAAGGTGAATGCCACTGCTAAGGACACAAGGGCATGACGTGATGCCTTTTCTCTGTAGAGCTGCAGGCAGACAGTTGTATTTTCCATCTCAACTGTCTGCACACTGAGCAGCAGAGGTGCCATTGCAACCCCAACTATAACCCATAGAAAGGCACATGCCAAATGGGCATAAAGGGACCTCCGGAGCTTGATGGACTTCACAGGGTGCACAATGGCTAGGAAGCGGTCAACGCTGATACACATCAGGAAGTAGATACTGGCATACATGTTGAGGTAAAAAAGGAAGCCAGTGAGTCTGCATGGGATCTCACCAAATGGCCAGTGGTTACCAGAGAAATGGTACACCAGCCGGGTAGGAAGTACCAGCACAAAGGACAGGTCAGCCACAGCAAGATGCATCAGGAAGATGTTGGCAGGTGTGCCTGACTTCTGGTCCCAGATGAAGAGCCAAAGAGCAAGGGCATTGCCAGCAAAAGCCAGGATGAAATCCAGGAAGTAGAAAGTTGCAAAAAGGATGTTCTCAAGGTGTGTCTCTTTGCCACATTGCTCTGAGGTTTCCAAAGAGAAATTTGATGGATTTGAGCAGTTGAAGAGTAGGTTTGAGAGATCTGCTGGACCGTTCATTTTTCACAACAATTTTGAAGGGAAAAAACAAACTCTGCAAGAATTGAGACAGTATATTACAAAAGAGCCTGGTTTTGTGAAGAAAAACAGAAACAAGCCCCCAAAACACACCCAAAAAACCCACACATGGAAATAAGTGATGTCTACTGTTAGCTGATACTGGTATTCAATATGACAGGCCTGTCCGAGTTTAAAACCTTATATTAAAATTCTGAATACCTTCTGCTTAGATGCGTTTTTCAGACCTTAATTCCTGTTGAAGGAACCACAACAGGGAGCTAGCTATCTGATTATGAGCTTGTCTCCAACTTGGGCTGAGATGAATTAAATAAGAGAGTAGTGCAATGCTTATGCATCTGGTTAATGGAAGACTGGAAGTGGGTTCTGTATGTCTAGCTAGAAAGGATTTGCTATGTTTAATTTGAAAGCCTGATTCAGGCTAAAGAGCTCACAATGAGTCAGCTTTTCTGAGCACAGGTATCTGCTGTAAGGTGACCTAGCTTAGAATATCTGTTCTGTTCCTAGAAGAGCTGGAAGACAGGTCAGATATTGCTGTTATTAAAAAAGCCTGCAGGGTTCCTGAAAATCTCTGAGAATTATTATATATACAGGGGATATATATATCCCCTGTATTTAGGGCAATGCATCTAGTTCCAATATAGGAAGAAACTTTTCAGATGAGTAGCAGCATCTCATTTGAACAGCAGAAAGCACTGAACTGATTCAAAAATGATTATTAGTAATGCTCATGCTGTTGGTTACTTGTCAAAATACCATCCTTCCCTGCAGCTGATTCTTCTGTCCTCTCTTCCTCCCTCAAAAGCCTGAACTCCACTCTAGCTTATTCAGGGCCTTTTCCAAGTAGCAGCTCAGTTGTCTGCAGCCTCCTGAATAGCATCAATAGAAGGTGACAAGATTTTCTGGATACCTGCCCATGGCTTTCTATATATTCCTCCACTGTAGGTCTAGGTAGTGGGGAAATAGTCTGAGTTTCCAGCATCATCTCTGTTTATTGGATTCCTCAGAGGTGTTGCAGTATGTACAGAAGTACCTTCATTGTGCTCACCATTGCATTTTGTACTGGTTGACCATTTCTCCATAATATTGAATACATCTTTAAATATACCCATTTTCCTTGACAGATATAAAATTTTAAGGTGGTTCCTGACATTGTTAGGTCAAATTTTTAGTCTTGGGCAGAACCTGTGCTACATGCAGGGATCTTACATCATTAGACAGTTGATCCAAGGCATTACACAATGCATCCAGCTTCCCAGCAGTACTGATTCTTCAGATGTCTAAAAAAATTGGTGGCTAATTGAGAAACCTAAATGGGATTAAGGACAAACCCATCTATTGGAAAATGTAAACAAAATCCCAAGGTAATTGCCATCTTTTGTCTGGCTGCTGTTGCTTTCAGGTGGACAGAAAATTACAATAGCTGGAGATTAATCTGCTGGACCATCTGTGTTTAGTTCACAGTTGAAGAGACAAAAGCCAACAGAAGGGAGACTGAATGAAATTCAGAAACTGAAATGTCTTCACATGGCCACACAGGGTCCTTCTGACACCACACATTGCCTGGGTACTCTGCATGTTTATGGCACAAAAAGACTCTAGGTTTGAGAGTATGGGTACTCACTGCTTGCTGCCAGCTTCTTTGTAATCCTAGAGATGACAACAGATTATCATCTCATAATCACAAGAAGTGCAGGGAAGACTGTACAGCCCTTTTTTTCCAAGGGATGTTTTATCTGTAAAAGAATAGGTGTGAAATCTTGCTTTCATATATAAAAGGAAAATGCCCTGCTGCAGTTTTCCATGTGAATTTCCTTGGTTTGCAGAGGAGCCTGCATTTTTTGTTTCTAGTGTTTATTTGTCCCTTGCAGAGTAAAACATGCAAGTGTTTTTGAACACAAGACTTTGACGTTTGTATGTGGTAGTAATACACAAGTATGTATGTGACAGTATGTGTGTCACATACGCAAATGCTTGTCCTCCCTGGATGGAATTACTTTAAATATGTATTTTTGTCTTGCATGCCAAAGGAGGAATACAATGAGGCCATGCTTTTCTACTGGCTGTTAATTTGCACTGGTATCTCTCACCTGATGTTCTGGCAGCGTAGCCTCTTTTTTTTTTGTGTCAGGCACTTGGTTTAAGTATGCTTTTCATCTGTGAAAAATGCAATCATGTCATACATAGACACCTGTCAGTGCTCGGTGGTCTGATGGCTCTATACGTGATGGTGACACTGGTAATGCAGCTCAGACCAGCTGAAAAGGCAGAAGCAAGGGTTGTCTAACAGAGCAAATAGGAATGTCTCTTGTCTTAAGGATAATGATTTAAATCCTTTCAGGAAGCGAAGCAGTAAGCAGACATTTTCCCTGTTTACAAGCTAAATACTAGGGGTTTAGCAGCATGATACATTAAAACTATTTGAGCTCATTTCATGAGGAGGATCTCTGGGATTCAGATTCAGCAGAGTGTCAGTGCCAAGACTTGGAATAGCCAAGACTTAAAGGCTGAGAGTTCTGTCCCCAGTGATGGCAGCTTTGAGTCTGCCGTTGATACTTATCTGGACCTGTGGAAAGTCCTTTGCTATTACGTACAGTTCCATTTCCATTTTGCCTGGGCTTATCCTATCAATTTAAAATATATGTGTTTAATGTTTAGGTTTTTTCTTTGGTTTGTTATGCTTACAAAAAGCACTCAAAGTATTAGAAAGCTTCTTGTACTAGTCTGTGTGAATGCTAAGAGCAAACTAGAAACCTTCCCAAATGACCTGGAATGTGTAGTTTGTGCTAATCTATATGGTGCAAGAGGCTTTGATTCCACAGACAGAAAACTCCTTTAGAGATCTGGCTCACTGTCCAATAATTTCCACTTGGATTGCTCTTTTGGTGTTCTGTGAGTATTTAGTGATTTACGTATTGCTAAACAGGGCACTGTTCTGGAATGAGCCATTATCCCAGGCCTCCCAGGGCTGAGCTGTAATGTGGATGTTGCTGCTCATTTGAAATGACCTTATTTTATGCCCTGTTTCTCTTCTGCTCAGAAGCCAGCAAGATAACAACCCACTAGGCTGTCAGTACAGGCGCAATCTGATCACTCTTTCAGCAGATGCTCCATATATCATGAATGAAACAATTAATAAGGCAGAAGAAATACTTAGCTCATCACAAGTTAGTTACCTGGCTAGTTTGGAGCGTTTGTTATAATGCCCGCTGCAGATAAATTTGAACTATATATTTGAACTACTAAGTTTGTAGTGGATCTCAGAAATACCTGTACTTGCTCTCAGCCCGAACAGTTTCTGGTTTCGGGTGATGCTAGTTTGGGGGGGGGGGGGGGGGTATGGTTATTTTGTTGTATTTTATGATTATGTTTGTAGCGTCTTTGTCAAATGGCTTTCACTGGAAGTGCTCATTAAAAAGAGTCTACTTCTGACCGAAATTCTCCTGAAAAGCCACTCCTTCCCACCCTTCAGCTGAAATGCTTGTTTCTGTGAGCATCAAGGCAGTGTCAGAGAGCACTGGATGTACCTACCATACAGCTGTTAGCTTTCCTGGTACAAATGGATGTACCTTAGGTCCAGAAGTACCTAAAACAGCAAGGACCTTTTATGTTTTGGAGCAGTTATGTAAAGCAGAGCAAGGAAATTATTCTTTGAAGTTCAAAAAGGTTGCCGGTTCTTAGTTTCAGGCATTTCCAGTACATTCATTCACCTCTGCATGTGTCGTTCTATCTCACTGATATCAGCTAAAAGTAATGTTGTTAGGAAAGCTCTTTCATTATTCTGCTAACAGAAGTTTGTCTCTTACCTCGTTACAGTGCAGTCCTATGGGTGATGTATAGGATCCTTTTGGGGAAAATCTGAAGGAAATCCTGATGACAGCAAACCAAGTAGAAGCAGCAATAGTGAACCAAGATGATCCCAAAAGAGCATGCAGTTGCAGTGTTGCTGAGGGTGGAGAGGGGAGCCCCTCTATATAGCGTCCTTCTAGCTCTGATAGCGCATTATCAGCTCAGTCACACAACAGAGAAGGGGAGGGGATGCCCCAGCACTGAAGAGAAGTCTTTATCCCAGCTGAGCTCTTGGCACTGGGGTTGCTGCTGCTGTTACAGATATGAATATACTGTATGAATATACTGTATGAATATTTCAGTGTTCATGGTGCTACTAAAAGCTGCTACTGAACTCCCACCCGTGAACACAGACTTCTTGGAGTCCCTGATTATTTTAGGAGGGTGGAGAGTAGCATTGTTTGGGGGAAGTCTGGTATTAATAGACACAACAGGACATTTCAGAATGGGATAATTCCACCATGGTGGGAGTGGGGAGGGGGAGAGGGGTGGCTGCTATGGTAACAGCTTAGCCTGTCCAACACTTCCCTTTGCTTGCAATAGAGGAGGGTCTATGGGACAGCAGAGAGGATTTGTGTGCGGGGAGGGGTTGATAATGGTTTATCAGTGCAAATGGCTGAAGGCACCTTATTGAGCTGAATGAGAGGGGTCTCTTTCAGGACACTTGCTTCAGGGTCCCTATGTCCTGCCCTGTATAATTACTGTGCATTTGACAGCGGCGAATAAAATTGATGCCTTTATGCTGAGATGAGCACAGCTGCATGTTTCCTTATAATGGGGTGCTGTCTGCTTTTGCTGGACTCCGTCTGGGCTCACAGTAGTTCCAGCCCTGGAGAGAGACTCTTGCTGACAGGAGGATTCAGATTTGTAGAGAATAATAATGATACTTAGCACTTAGACAGGCGCCTGCCAGCTGAGGGTCATAAATGTTTGAGGTCTCACAACAACATCTGTGTTGTATTCTTATGCCCATTTTACAGATCTAAGGGTATGTGATTCATCACAGCAGAATTTTGGAAGGGGCCCTGCAAAGATCCCACTACTTCAGCCATAAATCTACCCTTTCCATTTGAACTTTCCCTTTTGTCTAGTGCCTTTTGAGAATGACCTGTAAATCTCTGTGTTTCACATAGTGATACCTTGAAAGGAATTAAGCAGGCTCGTCTGTTTTGTGACAAAGAACCCCACAGAAGTCATTCCTCTGTCATCTTCATTTTATCATAAACTCCTGCCAGCCTGCAGCATTGCAGTTAGAGGGGTAGGTAATAGGCAAGTAAACTGAACAGCTTCTCAGAGCTGCTAAATATTGAGCTAAAACTGGTGGATTCCATTAGCCTTTGCAGAAGTTTTTATGCCTTTGCCCTTTTTCTACCATAAATTTGGCTTTTCTACCTGTTCAAGGTTGCACTTGTAATATGTTCTAGAACATGTGATAGGAACACAGTTACATTTATTGCATAAAACTGCAAAACTGCCATCAGTTTGTCATTTTCTTTGGCTTGAGAATAAAATGAATTTGTAGGCAGAAGAGCTCATACTCAATGGTCTCTTATTTGTCCTAGCTATTGAAAACTAAGGAATCCAGCCATGGTAAAGGCATTCAAGCAATGTTGTTTTGGTTTGATATTTTTTTACTCTTTCACAGTGCTGTAATGCCTCTGTTATGGCTGAATCCCATAGTTAGTAATAGAGAGAGGGAATTGCCACCTTTCCTTGCCCACCTTTCAGAAAAGATGTAGAAGAAGTGGAAAGGATACCTAGAAGAATGACAGGTGATATTCCTTATGGGATATAAATCAGTGAATATTGGAAGAGTATTCTAATGAAATACATGCTCCATCCTCATGCTCTTTTCTGTACAGCTGGTGTGAATGACAGGATACTACACTGTTTAGTCTGACCTCAGAAGACACTCCTTCTGTTACATAAAGTACATCCTACAGCATACACTGTATGTTGTTTTAGGAAAAAGAATTTCTTCATATTTTCCTTTCCTTCCTGTGTCCAACTAGGCATCTGTGCAGGCCATGCCATAACCGTGAAAAAGCTAAGGGACTGGGCAAATACATCTGTCAGAAGTGCCACCTGATAATTGAGGAGCAGCCTCTGATGTTTCGGAATGATTCCTACCATCCGGATCACTTCAACTGCACCCACTGTGGGTATGTTCTCATAGCCTAAACTCTGACTAAAAAGGAGAGAGACAAACAGTAAGTCAAGCAGTGCAGTCCTTTCCAGGTTCTCAACTTAGCTGTTTCAACAGAAATTGCGTGAGGAGAAATCAAAAGGACTTTGGAAAGCCTACAGAGACTTCAGTTTTATTTTACCATTCAGTGTTCTTTTATCCTCAAATTGAGTGATGCTCTTTTACACTGAAAATGGAAATAGTTCCTTGGTATAAACTTACCTGAAAGGCTGTGTGCAGATTGCAGTAATAGTGTTGTCCAAAGGCAGCTGTGGACAAGCTATTCAGAATAGTTTCCCTTTGCATTCCTGGGTGCAAAAAAAAAAGAGGATTACTTGGTGAGATGTGTCGGTCTTCTGGTGCAGTCCATTACAGTGCTGATACCTGTCTGACCTGAATTACTTACCATGAAGGCAATATAGTTGGGCCACAGTACTGCCCTTATTGGCTGTCAGTGCTGAAGAATAAAGTAAATGGCTCAGTGCTGAGCACTACTAAGATAGTCCTTGTACCTGAGCTAGCCCATTCACTTGAGTCTTTGCATGATACATCATTGTTCCACGTAAGTGTACCTTGTATTTCTGCCAGAGTATCTACCTGAAGATACAATATTCCATGTATATTCTCTTGTCTGGCAAACTGAGAAAACAGTTTTAGAAAGATGAGTTGCCAATAACTGTGTTTCAGTAGCTTAATTTACTGTGTCTGCATTTGTAGCATGAATATTTCCATGGGTTAGGGTTAACTTTAAAGCTTAGTCTTTCAAAACTTCATATCACACATGAAAGAGCTTCCCTTGGTGTTCTTACTTCAGTGCCATATTTGTGTTTTCAGGAAGGAGCTGACTGCTGAGGCCCGGGAGCTGAAGGGAGAACTGTACTGCCTGCCCTGCCATGACAAGATGGGAATCCCTATCTGTGGAGCCTGCCGCAGGCCCATTGAGGGACGAGTGGTCAATGCCCTGGGAAAGCAATGGCATGTTGAGGTGAGGCCTCTCTGAATCTGAAATTTCCTTCAGGAGACATTTTGGAAGAGAAGCCACCCCTGTAGCCTCCCCACTACCTAGCCAACGCAAACCCAATGCACCAGCATCTGCTTGCTAATAAATTTACCTGTTTATTATGATGTACATGGATATATCCTCTCCAACCCCGGTTAACAGGTTTGTAACAGTATTAAGATTTGTAATTTGGCAGAGCCAGTGCAATTCTTGCTTTTTAAGTCTTTTCAGCTCATTCTTTCTGTAACTTTCAGCTGAGTTGTAATAGCTTGTTCTAACTTTTTTAATGGCTTATGTTTTTAGTGATTTAAGCCTCCTAGAGCTTGAACTGGGATGCTGCTGATTTGAAGTACATTCATATCAACCACATTTCATGTTCCTGTTTCTCCTCTCTGACACAAACAAGATAGTAGTCCACAAGTCTATTAGTAAAAAGGCAATTGCTATTTCATCAGGTCTTCTACTGATCTTTAATACAATTCTTAATTGCTATAGTAGACTAAGTATTTCCTCTTTTCTTTTGCTTCTATAAAGATTTTCTTATCTGAGTATTGTTAAAACATAAAGGGGTAACAGTTTTAAACTAAAACACTGTAGATTTAAATGAGATATTAGAAAGAAATTTTTCATTATTAAGGTGCTGAGGCGCTGGCACAGGGTGCCCAGAGAAGCTGTGGCTGCCCCATCCCTGGCAGTGTTCAAGGCCAGGTTGGACGGGGCTTGGAGCATCCTGCTCTAGTGGAAGGTGTCCCTGCCCATGGCAGGGGGTTGGAACTGGATGAGCTTTAGGGTCCCTTCCTACCCAAACCAGTCTGGGATTCTGTGATCAGGTGTCTCATATTAAGCCATGATTTGTAGCCATGCAGTTTTTTTCCCTGCTGATGGAACACTTGTTTTGCCTGCAGCTGAATGTCTTTTTTTCATTTTACAGCATTTTGTTTGTGCCAAATGTGAGAAGCCATTCTTGGGTCACCGACACTATGAGAAAAAAGGACTGGCTTATTGTGAAACCCACTATAACCAGGTAAATTCTGCCATCTATCCTGTAGGTACTTGCTCTGACTGGTAAATACATTTTACATATGCAAAGCTCTGCAGATTTTGCATACTCTGAATGTGTAGAGGTGATGCAGTATTAAGAAGTTAGTGAGATTTAACAGAAAAAAACAGTTTTTCGTGGTAGATATGAAAAGTGATGCTGAGACAGAATAAAAATGTCATAGGGATGTTAATTTTTCTTTGTGCCATTGACAGAATAAAACCACTGACCATGGTTTGTGATTAAAATCCCTGTAATTATACTCCAAAACTATCTGTGTGTTCTTCGATAATTACTTGCTTCTACAGGCCTAAGACAAATGTTTTACTGTCTAAAGCACAAGAAAAGTATGTTTCAAAAGACAGTCAAATCCTGTTTTTTCTGTATGGCTCTACTGAACAGCTATGAGTTTGGTATTTTCTTCTGTCAGATAAGTTAGTCTTATAAAAGTGTTACTCTTTTGAATGTAGCTCAAGGTTTTATTTTGATGATTGTAACCGAGCAACAGGAGATGTTTGTCTGCAGTAAGGATCATACTCTACTGATCCTTTTTTCTCCAAATTGCCACATTTACAGGAGTTTAAGATAACATAACAGTAGTAGAGTGTGAGGCATCAACAAAAAAGGTTGTGTACTATTTAGTGGTAGAGATCCAAAGGAACATAAACTGTTTGGCAAGTGTATGAGAAGTTATTCAGAAGATTTAAATTGGTATATCTGGGTGCTGCTGCAACTGGGAATTCTTTGCTTGTTAGGATTTAATGTTCACACCAGCTGTGTAATTTGGGAGCCATGGCAAGTCAGTAATATGAGTTCCTATTTCTTTTGCTGTGCAGCTCTTTGGAGATGTCTGCTACAACTGCAGCCACGTGATAGAGGGAGATGGTAAGATTTGTTCTCTCCTTGGTTTAGGTTGCTGTCCTTGTTCCATTTGTTAGTGCAGCTGTTGCAGTCCCACAGTTGCAAAGCATCAGTGTTTCTTTTCACATCTGGCCTCATTTGAATTTGGATACAAATCCAAATTCAAATAATTCAGCAATTTCCTCTTATTTTGTGCTTTTGCAGTGGTATCAGCTCTTAACAAGGCCTGGTGTGTGAACTGCTTCTCCTGCTCCACCTGCAACATCAAGCTTACACTGAAGTAAGTCAGTGTTTACATTTTGGACCATATGAGACATTTGCTTCTAAGGCAGGGTATCGGCTTGGGGGAGCCATGAGCCAGTGCCTCTGAGAGGGGCAGTATACCTTTGCTATGAGGGAGTGGGTGCTTGTAATTCACTGATTTCAGAACTCAAAGGGAGCTGGGACTCAGCATCCTCTCTAAAATATTTTCCTTTATTTATCTGTCCTATAAGAAGATTGTGTAAGAGGAGAACTCATTCAACAGTACAGAAAGAGGGCTCTGAACTTCAAGTAACTGCTTGTCCTGAAATATGTGCAGCTTCCCTGTCTCCTTAGTCTGGATGCTCCCCTCAGTGGCGTTATTTGCAATTACGTAAATTACTTTGAAAGAAAATGTGATGCTAGTTACTTTAAATATGTAGAATAGGAACAGAAAGCAGTCCTACATTTTTCCTTTCTTGGGTTCAAACCCTCAGCCTACTATGCTGAGTTGACCCCACTGGCCTTGTACATGAAGGAGCTCTAATTCATCACTAAGAGGACCTTTGAAGTGATGCTTCCATGCTGTGATAACAAAATTGCTATTCTAGGCTGCTACATAGAAGTATATAGCAAAATCTTGCTCCTTATTTAACTAGCAATACTGAAGATGCTAGTTCACTGATAAGAAACCAATCTCTGTACTTACATGACCAGATGAGGAAGCGAGTTGTTTCATACATGCAGTAGAATAAAAGCAACAGCATTTACAGAGATGCATGGAGACTTAGTGAAGCATGCGGTTTGCAAATAGCATTTTAATAGCCTGTTGTCCTTTGTGTTAAAGGAATAAGTTTGTGGAGTTTGACATGAAGCCTGTATGCAAGAAGTGCTATGAGAAATTCCCTCTGGAACTGAAGAAACGCCTGAAGAAATTGTCAGAGCTGACATCCAAGAAGGCACAACCGAAAGCTCTGGATTTAAACTCTGCTTAAACAGGTCTGTCAGTCTACTGACTGCACTCTTACAGTCATAAGCTGCTGTGAGCAGCAGCTGTTGATTACAGAGGCAATTACTAACAAGTGAAACCAAAGATAAGTAGTACCTTCCCCTTCTTCTGGTAATGTAGCTTTCATGTTGACTATCCCTTTTCTCAAGCTGTTATCTATTAACACTGGCAGAAAGAGAAATATGATTTCTGCTTGAGCAGTTTACAGGCTGGTTATTAATTTTCTAATAACAACTTATTCTGCCTTGTGAATTGTACACAGTCTTTCCTTTCTCAGCTGAACTGTAGTTCTCTCCAGTCCTCCATAGTCTATTCCATAGAATTTGGAAACAGCGGTTAAGTGTAGGGATGGAAGAAATGTATGATTTGCTGTTTTTCAGTTGAAGTATAAACATTTCTAGCCCTAGGTGAAGACATTTAACATGTAGACAAATATTCTGAAAGATGTCACTCTTTGCTACATGCAGAATGTTCTGATCTTTCTCCAGATTCTTACTGAGCATATATGGATGCTCTGCAGTCCTTCTGGTTTGCAGGTTTACCGGGAAAGCCCAGGAAGCAATAGTTATGGCATCTATGCTGCTCACTTGTCTAACTTAGGTCCAGTATTAAGGCAGCTGAAGAAGTTTGCTTTGCTGCTTCGCTGCTCGGTACTAAGGAGATCTCAGTTGTCAAGGCCTTACCAGCCTCTCCAGGATAGTTAGGCTCTCCTTAATGAGGAGGTTGCTATGGTGAAAGAAAGATTTTTGTTAGAAACTGACACTATAAATTTTCTTCATTTGTTCTCTACTACTACATGGGAGCTTCTAATGGTCAACACAAAGTATGTCCTCTCCACTGGCACAGCTGACATTTCTTGAGGCGGTGTGGCTGGAGCCTCGGTTATTCATTTGCATGATGAAATCAAATTGGTAATATGGTGTCAAGCACTTCAATTTCCCTGTCCTTCTCACTTCATTTGAAAGATGAGGGCACACTTGTTGGTCATGCTTCAGAGAGCCTAATTACATTAAGGGGTATCTGATATTTATGGCTTGTAGCAAATGTGGTCCTATGCAGGAAAAAAAAACCCAGGACATATTTCTCTTAAAAAGTTCACCCAAATAAGAGGTTTCTATCACCTTTCTTATTAAGACTTGAGTGTACTTAAAGAGAGGATCTCAGACATGAATCTGTACATCTTAACCTATAGTTCCGCTGTGTAGTTTTGCCTATTCACTAGTGAAGTTTCTAGATCCTGTCTCTGCTATAAAAATTGTGTGAAATTTACTGGGTTTGAACATCCTTGATATTTCTTCAGGGGTGAGCCATCAGCAGTGCTGTTCCTGAGTTCATTTGGGTGTTCTATAATCATGGGGAGCTTCTGAGACCTCCGTAGGTGTCCTCCATAGTTCCTAGTCCTGAACTAAGCTGAGCAGCCTGAATAGTTGAAGTCTCTGCCTGCCCTTTTACAAGGTCAACAGGATGAAAGGCACTGGAGGACTGCTGTCCCTTGCATGATTTAAATCTTCCAAGAAGCGGCTATTTTAGTAGGTCAAATGAACACAACAGTTGGGCCTAGCCACCAACCTGCAGTCCCAAGAGAATTAGCTAGCAAGAAGTTAGAACTTCCTCACTTCTTGCATGTGTGAGAAGCAACTAGATTGGGGCAATAATCTACCTTAAAGTTGCCCTCACTGCCATCACACCTTGCCCAAAATATATCTAAATTAGGTAATAGCTAAAGCATTGACAGCTGTTCACACACTTGCTGTAGCTACTACCCATGAAATTGCACCAGTGATACCACAGCAGTGGTGGGAAATCCTTGTTAACTCTGTGCAGGTAAGAATCCCTCATGTGAGACCATCTCTTAGATACTTAATGGCTTTGCTAATTCAGATTCCTTCAGCCGCTTTGCTTTTTGGTGCCATAACCTACCATAAACTTTCAAATGGGATATACTGCATCTGCTATAACACTGATGAGGGGACAGGCCTAATCCTAACAGTAGAACTCTTCATCCTCTTCTGAACAATATACACTGTAGCTTACAATAATAGTAGCTGCTTTTGTCACTGCTTTAGGAGACCATGTGAGTAGTCACTTTTCTCTCACCAGCCTTTAAATAGTCTGTAGTTAAGGGCACAAAGAGCAGCATGTCTTTTGGTGCAGTAGTATGTGGCCACTGCAAAGAATCTAGGTTCAGTTCAGTATGCTATGCAGAGTCTTCTCAGCATGAAGCATTCAGGTCTGTTCCTATAACTTTAGTCACAGGGCATGTCTAATCCTAAATCTGAGCAGCTGTGTATCTTCAGCCTTCTGGAAAGATGTGGATGAATACATAGCCAAGTAGCTACTGGTAAATATGGAAAGACTATGTAACTAGCAGGCAATAGGTAATATTCTTTCAGTGGCCACTTTCAAGTTCAGCAATGGAAAATGCATGTATGTAGAGGTGAATGGAATTACTTTTGTACTGTAAGTAGAGGTAGAGTGTGTACTCTCACTTTGTCTCATATTTGCAACTCAGACCTAATAAGCTTCAGTGTTCAAAGTATAGCTGATACTGTCTTTGATGAGCTGTTGGTTATCTAACATTTGGATTAAGTCCTTATCTTTAGAGCATTTCCCAAATTACTGGAGGGAAAAATATCCCTGACCTCTGTATTAGCGGAGGGTGATGTTCCCTTAGTATTTCTTAAATTAGTAATGTTTCACCATTATTTTTCTTATATTTCTGCTGCCCATAGCCTACAATGTGCAGAGTTATGGGAGTGAGTATTACTGACATGTCTTTTGTGGGATAGTGGAATTGAAGGAGTTGGAAAAATAACTATAAATAGTTTAATAAAAGTACCTTCCCCTACTTCAAGTCCACTTCCTAAAAACTAAGTAGAATATAGTGCAGACTTAAGACTTTCCTTAATGTGTTGCTAGGATAACAGGTTTGTTGGTTGTCAGTTTGTTTGTTGGTTGGTTTTGGGGTATTTTAAAAGTTAAGGGCTTGGTCAGAAACAAGCTGCATGTTTTTTTCCATTGCTGTGAATAGACATGCTGGCCAAATTCATCCTAAGTATCACACCACTGGAGAGTGTAGATTTACATCAAGGTTGAACTTGGCTCAGAAGTCTACGCTTACCAAAAGCTGTTGTCTCATTATATACATCTATACTTTACATTCATATTTATACATACTGAATTAAAATCACTAATATTCACTGAATACACTTGAAATGGTTTTGCTGTTAGAAACCACACTATGTGAAGCTTGTTTGTATTCAAAGGGTATGTTAATCACAGTCTTTTTACAGCAACCAAATCTACTCTATAGGGTTTGCATCCTGGTGTTTATTTTTACAGCAGTCTGTGCAATGTAGGCAAATACTGTTCAACCTGTGCAGAGTTTCTAGATGGTGTGTGTTTTGTATTGTGATGTGATTGACACCTTTTTAAAAGTGGTTGGATGGTGAAGGAATAGGTTGCAGGCAAACATAATAAATGTAGTTGCACTAGTCTGTAAAGCACTGTTAAGTGCTGAGGATGGTATAGACCTAGTAAAAAAATTAGCAGCTACTTGCTGCTCAGGCTGTTCAGGCCTTGATGAGCAGTGTGGATTCTGCACTGTGTGGAGCTCTGTCGCACATTGCCTGTGCTAACCAAAACGTGATTGTGGATTCAAATGTTGTAACACTGTCTCTTTTTATGTTTCTATAATAAAGTTAACTGTAACACATTTTAAATCTTCACACACAACAAAAAAAGTAAAAAAGTTGTGTATCGTACAGTGAAAGAAAAGTCACATTTGGAATGCTGAGCCAGAGAGCACTACACGCCCTGAGGAATGCTGGGGGTTGCCCAAATCTGATGCAGTGGTGTGGTGAGCTCATGTTTTGGATCTCTGCTGCTTTTCCAGTGATGTGTTGGTTGATGGGATATTAGCTTTTAAAGGCTGTGCTGTACAAATCATGTTGTAGGCGAGTATGATTCGTGTATATACAACAAATCGTGTTGTATGGCAAATAGATGGGATGGTTTGATTGTTTACAGGCTGTAGCGGATATTTGGTGGGTTTAGGTTACATGAATATAGAGCAAATACTCCATTTCCTTGTTAAAAAAAGGCATTGTGGTTGATTTTCTGCAGTGTTTATTTAAAAACCAGAAACAATACAGTTTCGCTGCAAAATTTCTTTTTGTACAGGTGAAGTATTGAATGCTTCTTACATAGGATGACAAAACAAATCATTAGTCTCAGACATTTCCATTGCCAGCAATGGTCACTACAGCAGGAATATCTGATTGCATGCAAACCGATCAACTATTCTGACAAGTATGGCACTCATATGCACAAAGAGAGTGGGGCTCTTCCCTGCCACCCATGTACAAAACTCCTATCACCGTTTGAATTTCACACACACACATCAGAGGGAACAAGAGAACCATTGTGCATACCTTGGCAAATTAAGAGAGATCTAGCAGAGCTGCTATTCCAGCCCTGCCAGGCAGTGTCTCAAGGAACTTGATGTAAATGCTTTAAGACATGTCCGTGTTTCACTGTGAGCAAGGAAGGGCTTGTTGTTGAGGAAGGAATATTTATTCTCTGATGGGGTAAGTGTCTAAGCTTAGAACCACCACAGTGTGTATGTATATCCTTTACATACTCTGGGAATGCTATGGTTCCTAAAGGGCCAAAGTTGTGTGTTTTCAGAGGTCTGAGATATGAACAAGTTTTACCACTCAAAGTGCCTGCTAAACAGGAAATAGAAAAGATCAGGAGAAATTAAAACTGTTAATTCTTGTCTCATGAAGGAATGTCTGCATGACTCCAAGCTGAGAAAATTTTTGCAGAGCAGAAAAGTCTCTTTTCAGCAGATGTCTGTTAGACTGCATTCTTCAAGTCTGACTTGCACTGAATAGCACATCTGTAACTTGAAGTAGGAGCAAAAGTAATGACCCAAAATCCAGACTTATTTCAGAGTTTGTTTATGCTTACTAGAAACTGCATAGTAGAAAGCAGTTGTTACCAAGTACATTGCAAAATGTAGAAGGAAGAAAGAAAACTAATTTAACCAAGGCAGTGGTAAACCAGTGGACAGTCTGCTAATTTAGCATCACAAAGGAATGACTGTTAAGATTCTGACAGTAAGTAGCTGTCATAGTCCACGGTAGCTTACAGCACGTAACTTAGTGATAAAAGGATGAAAACCAGCATCTTACCCTTCAAGGTGTTCAGTTATCCTACTACTAAAGGGCATTTCCCCACGCTTAGAATTTCCAATAGGAGGAAAAAAAAATAACATTACCTTTGTTTGCAAAGACTCGAGGGGTTTGTACATTTGGTAAGGGCACATATACAACAAGCTGGCATTTTCTTTCCAAAAGGAAGACAACTGTTAATGTGTATCTCTCCTTAAGAACAGAGGAAATTTAGAGGCTTTCATATTACGGTTCCTCCATCCTCCTGCCTCCATATTACATTAAAATCCAGCTGGACTTTCTCTAAATCCATAATCTGAATGGAATTCTTATACTACATCTAAGACAGACAAGCATTACAGATGCTTGAAAGCACATGCCTACTTGAGCTTCTCTTGTAGCATTTCAGTAACACAGTTCATTCAGTGTGTGATCACAAGACCAGTCATCAAGCTCATTAAACGGCATTTCTTCTGGGAGATGAAATTACAGGTAGTTTGGCACAGACACAGGTCATGGGTTCTGTTTCTGCTCTCAGGCTGAGAGGTGCTTTTGCTTGTTTACAGCATTCATTAGCAGGTGAACGTAGGATGTTAACAGGTCATCCATTTTGTAACCCTGTCAGAAAAGAAAAAGATCTGACATCTCTCAAAATGCTCCAGAAGCAAAAATAACTATAATGTCCTCCCTGTTTTATTTTCTTCTTTGGTTCTTCCCTGTCTCCTTGTCATTCATTCTATAGATTGACATCTTATGCTTAGGAATCCAAACTTTTTTGTGAGAGAAGTTAGCCCTTACATGTTTTCCTTTTATATTTACAAATTTACCTTTAAAAATGAATACGGTGATGCTTGTCTGAGAGTGTGGGCAATCTGAAACCAATTCTTAAAGAAGCGATACCACTCAAGTGTAAAACCTTACAAGGATGGCATTACTGTATAGATGGATCGAACCATGCATGACAAAAAGTCTCCTACATAGTATTTTGGGTAAGTACAGTCTTTCCTTAATGTCTCAGATAGATTTGGGAAGAAAAATTTGCGGAATTACTATTTTCATGTGTCTCTGTGGCTTACAGCTTTGTATCGGATGTCATTAAATAGCACTGAACCAGTTTTAAACTTCAGTTTTATTGACATAGCAGTGAATGCTTTTTGTACCTGCACTTTAACATCTGTTTTGACACCAGTGTTTTGTAGCAATTCTGGATGTAAAGGAAAACATAGACTCATACATGCAAGTTTCTTGTGTGTAAGTTGACAAAACCCTTCTTACCAGAGATGTCTCACATAAGATCCGGCTTCCTCGTACCAGGTTCCCTATTGTCATGTGAAAGTATGTGCTCCCACTGCTCCAATTGGAGATTTTATTGAAGGGGTAGACTGTTAAAATATCCTGTAAGGGGAAACAAACTGAGCTCTAGAACATTTCTCAAATGAAAACAGGCTGTTACGTGAGAAAACCTGTAAAGCCAGAGCATTCTTTTCTTTCCCACTTCGTTTGTAAACACAGTGGATCAAGGTAGTTCTTGCATCCAGACTAGTGGTATATTGTATTTTCACCAAGTTAAGTGAGTGATTGCCTTAGCACACTGCTGTTGTATTTGCAATGATCTAAAACTCACTGGCTATTTGTTTTCCTATTAGAAGCAAATAGTGATATTCATGAACACTTCTGCCTGGGAACTTAGGACCAAACTGTTTGGATTAGAGAGGTGCTAAACAGTGTCATTCGACCCGGTCTTTTAGACAACTTGGCTTTCCTGCAAAGCATTTGTCTAAGGCAGGTTCCCTAGTGCACTGTCCATCATCTGCCTTTGCCCATGTCCATCATGATTACACTTATTTTTTTCAGAGATGTTCTGTACTGTTTCCTTGCCAGGAAACTGCAAAGAAGTGTGATGTGAGGCAGTAACATTTCCTTCGGTTTCACGGAGAGAATAAATTGAGGGACTCTTATCCTCTCCTACCATTCAGGGAGAAGGTCCTTGTTGCTGTCCCTAAATTAGCACAGTCAATTAAATCCTTCTTTACACAGACTCTTGAGAAGCAACTGTTACCTTTGTCTTCTGATGTATCAGTGAGACTCCTTGCTTGTTGATTGCAATCAGCACAATCTCTGGGAAATTTGGCTCTGAGGTTTGCTATAAACAAGTAACAGAGCAAGTTAAGTAGAAAACGAAGAAATGATCCGTATCAACTGCACAGTGACCTTTACCAGTGTCCAGTGCTTCTCATTCTCTCTACCAGATAAACACTGAAAGAAAAAGCTCTTCAATATTGTGCAGCTATTGCTAAGGATGACTTTTTTGGCCATATATTGATGACTTGAGCAGCTGTTACATAAAAGCAGAATCAGATCCATTATTTCCTAAGCAATCTGATGATAGGATTAATAGTTGGTTGCAAACCAGTTAAGAACCTAGCAAAGACAAATTAAAGGTAGCAAGTGGGAAATGATTCCTGGAGGTATCCACTGCAGAATGAGAAGATCAGCACAGTTCTGTTTTGAGGGAAGAGTCCCCAGAGACACAAGATTTGGCAGCATTTTGTTGTGGATACCAGTGATGGGACAATTAAGTATCTACGTAACTAAAACCTCCCTACAACTACTGCATAGTTGTAGTATTAGGTATTATGACTAGAACAACAACATAGCCAGTAAATAACAGGCGTAGTTCAGGATGGATAAAAATGTCACTTTCAAGTAACTGAGTTTTCCTCAGTAGATTATGGGAATTCAGCTTTATACTTACACAAATATGGAATTATAGTCAGTCCATATGCCCCAGTGCTGGTCTACTATCAAAGCCATTCATCCAGGCCTTTAAACCTACCTTCACCTCAAAGAAGGCTGATCCAAATGTTGGCCACCGGTATACCATTTTCAAGAAGGCAATCTTGGCCTCATCCACAGTTTTTCCTTCATGTTTACTGTATGCTGCAGTAATGCTCTGTTTAGAAAAAAGAATACAAACCCCATTCAGTTGGAAACAGGCAGGTTTCCAGTGTCCAGCATTAGCACTAAAAACAGCATCAGATCATCACCAAGATCAGTCTTTTACCCACAGCAACAGTCAGAAGACTGAAAATGAAATAGCCTTGCCATGGGACAAGGTAGAGTCAGACCCTCCCCAGTGTCCCTTACCTAATGAGTCCAGGAGCCCAAGAGAATGGATTTGAGGGTGGAGGGCAATATGGGATGGAAGAAAAGCAGTGTTCAACACCCACAGATATATATCACATTTTCTGCTGAAACACGTAGGGTGAATTTTCCCTCTGTTTGAAGCTGTGTCCTATGTCTTCCTCAGTGGACTAAGTGGTAAGTACCTGCTGAAACCTTGCCTTCTGGTGGATAAAAGACCTTTTTTGCTGTGAGTAGCATACACATGGTACAAGGTGACTGATGTGCTGGCCAAGCTATGAAAAGTTTAGCACACATCTTACTTTTCTCTTTCCCTTCAAGCTCCTCAATCTCCAGTCCCATCACTGACTTTCCTATCTCTTAACTCTTCTTTTGGGGACTGGAAATAGATTAATATCTCC